ATCACGTCTCACACTCGCGTCACCTCTTGAATGCACGACGGGAAAAAACTATTTCAAACCGCTTTATATTATTGTGCAGGCTTTGGTGACAATGTACAATTGAAACGCTTTGTAACGGTTGCAAATAATTAACAACTTAGCGTTATTCCTCTTGTAAATGTCAAGCAAAGTCCAAGAGTGACGGTGCCTAGCCTACACGGGCGTTGCTTATTTTATTGTATTTACTTTGCCTGCAACATAGGGCAATAAATGTGTCTGTGTGTTTACTTTGGTCCAACAGGCGCTTGGTAACGAGAATCTCACACCCGTCAACCCCTGATCAGTGCCCTATCTAATTACTGACCAATTCAGACACTATTGATCACCCGTGCCCTCATAAAGCTTAACGTTCATCCTACAAAGTCCCATCACAAGGGAGAAACACAAACACATAGACATATTCTTGGTTCTTTCGGTAAAGTCACGTAGAAGGGAAATAATGAAATGAAATAATAATAAAACATTAGTAAATTAGTTTATTTTATAAAAATTAGATATTTTTTATTTTTTTATTATTTCCCTTCTACGTGGTGACTTTACCGAAAGAACCAAGAAGATGAATCTCTGCAGTCACGAAAGCTTTAAATCGTTAAATAGACATTTGTATTTGTTTTTGCCCGCATTGAAACGGCTGTACGCCCGATGGACCTGAAAACTCAATTTCCCTGCACAAGAATACGCAGTGAAACATCGTCTGGGTTGACAGCTGTGAGATTAGCCAGCGGGCGAGCAAGGCCAGGAAAGCACGAATGAGAGAATCATTGTGCAGGGAAAAAAAACAGCGCAAATGTCTGATATCAACGCTAAAAGCCGTCAATGGAATTTCACGATCATCGTGTGTATGTGTATGTGTGTTTGTGTTCGGTTGCGTAACGCTGTGGAAGCTACCTGGTCTGTCGCTCCGCACTAAGCTTCAGGTATTCTCGGCCACGGTCATTCCCTCCCTTCTCTACGCTTGCGAAACGTGGATCCCCTTAATGAAACATCTTCGCCGGTTAGAAACATTTAGGCTGGCCTACCTACGATCCATCCTGGGTTTAATCAGGCTGGATTGTGTGAGCTCACAAATCTTTGAAAGATCTGGGCAAGGTCCCATAGGTGAGCTCCTCCGGCAGGCAAGGCTGCGTTGGCTGGGTCATGTAGCCCGCATGCCCAGCCACCGCATGCCGAAACAGCTTTTGTTCGGCCGGATCTAGGGGGCTAAACGGGCGCGGCACGGGCTAGAGGAGCGATGGAGTGATGTGGTACAGGAAGACGTGGAGCTGAGTGGACTTGCCGATGACTGGTACCAGCAGTGTCAAGATCGGCCTCTGTGGGGAAGGCTCGTGAAGGACGCTACTGGGCAGTTGAAGGCAGTCGTCCTCCAACAACAACGGAGGGCGGAGGAGCGACGCTCACAACGAGCGGAGCGCCGGGTGGCTAAAGCACAGCAGGTTGGCACAGTAGGGGGCACAGGTGGTGCACCAGCCAGTCATCTCAGTCAGTCGACCCGTGGCACCTGGGTCTGCCCCGTGACCTCTTGCCCGCGGGCGTTCGACATTTCACGTGGCCTCAAGGTGCACATGGCCTGGCACAAGCGTCGTGGTGACGTCACCGCCACTTCGTGGCGAATGGCGGTTGTTGTATATATGTGTGTTTGTGTGTATGTGTGTTTGTGTGTATGTGTATTTGTGTGTATGTGTGTTTGTATGTATGTGTGTTTGTGTGTATGTGTGTATGTATGTGTGTTTGTATGTGTTTGTGTGTGTGTGTTTGTGTGTGTGTTTGTGTGTATGTGTTTGTGTGTATGTGTTTGTGTGTATGTGTGTGTGTATGTGTGTGTGTTTGTATGTGTTTGTGTGTATGTGTGTGTATGTGTGTTTGTGTGTATGTGTTTGTGTGTATGTGTATGTGTGTTTGTGTGCATGTATGTAATTCGAGTTCGATTCCCGCTCACGACAACCCCAGTGATGTTTATCTGAACCGGTCCCGGGTCACCTTACCGAGGTCGACTCAGCCTCAAATGAGTACCCGGTGAAGTGTGTAAACATCGCTACTGGGGAGACAAAGGCGGCCGGGCGTAGTGCTGGCCACCCACCCCCTCGTGTGCCGTTCCGGCCTTCATAGGTGCTCCTCGCTAACAGCACTTGCCCCTTTTTAACACGTAGGCTTTCGCGACCAATATTATTCATAATAAAGGTTTTTGGGTTAGATCGCGTTTATTTATAAATGTGTCGTAACCCTCCACCACCCGACACGGCCAATCAGCAAAAAAAGTGTCACGTTGACAAAAGACAAATAATTCACTACTTCAGCCCACCGGTGTGTTGAAGAGTTAATCCACATTTACAGTTTGAAGTAGTGAATTATTTGTCTTTTGTCAACGTGACACTTTTTTTGCTGATTGGCCGTGTCGGGTGGTGGAGGGTTACGACACATTTATAAATAAACGCGATCTAACCCAAAAACCTTTATTATGAGCACTTGCCCCTACAGTCTGTTACAGGCTACACGGGGGATCTTTGTCTTTGTGCACCCAGTAAACCAACGCGACAAACAACGCAAACAAACGCGATTCGCAGGAAACACAAAAATGTTGGCAACGAGTTGAGTAGAAACATTGACGCGAGCCAGTGAACCGCCCCCAAAACATCGCTGCCCATAGTTGTGTCGATGCACGCGCGACCCCCACCCCTGCCCTGCCTGCCCTGCCCTGCCTGCCCTGCCCTGCCTGCCCTGCCCTGCCTGCACTGCCTGCCCTGCCTGCCCTGCCTTGTGTTGCGATCGAAACGTCGAAGTTTTTTTATTTTCTTATTATTTTAACCTATCTACGTGATTTTACCGAAAGACCCAAAGAATATGAATTCCTGTAGTCACGTTACCGCACCTGGCCACGTTATCCCACCTGGCCACGTGACCGCACCTGGCCACGTTACCCCACCTGGCCACGTTTTTCCCCCCTTTGGGCTGCTGTGCCTAGCAACAGCAGCAGCACCACCCCCACGGCTCCAATAATTGTTGTCGTAACCTTAATGAAAGACGCTTGCTTGGCTCAGCAAGGAGGGGGAAGCCACTATTTTCACCACAGGCTAAATAGACGAACACCATCCCCCCTCCTCCGCTCGAGCACACGGTCGACGGGATTGTGAAAGATCGCCTCTCTGTGACTCCTGAACCGCCCGGAGCGATGAGCAGAAAACACGTTTTTCTGGCACCGGCACACGCAAAAAAATTCGCAAACGTCTTTGCTGTACTGTATGTTGAACTTCTTTCGCGCCGTACGTAGCCACCCGTGCTAATCGGAGGTGTCGAATGCTCGCTTGTTAAATAAAAGACGGTGAAATTGGACGAGGTCTGCGAGAACGCAGTGGCGCACTTGTGGTGGGATAGTGGGGTGGGCGTAAATGTGGATGGATCTGTTAAGCAGTGGCGGCATCGTAGGTTGGGCACTTTGCGATCAGAGATCCTCCCCGTCTCCGGACGCGGCTAATATCAGTGGCGGGTGATCATCGCCAACGATCGCCAACTCGTGGCGAGGTATGGTCAAACAACATCCACGATCAAAGGGGCATGGGGAGGGTATTCATCCAGCAGCGGATTGATAAAGGGCTGTGAATTGCAAAAATATATAAATGGGATAATTTGCTGTGTCACTTGAGCTATCCGATTACTTCAATGTCAATGACGCGCGAGCCTGAGGTGCTCAAAATGTCAACGCCACTTAATTATAACGTCAGCAAAAAAACCCAGTTCGAGAGCAGAATGCAATGCTTCGGTGTTGCATTAACCAGGTCTCAAGTCAGTACTCATCGGTCAGGAAGCTGTGTCCATAATTTATACAGAACATTCTTACTCTGTATAACTTAGATATATTTTTAAAAAATGACCAATTGCTTCATATACTGGAAGTTAATAAAACTATCCCCCCTCCCCTGGTTATAACATTGGTCAAATTCACTGTTAAGATTTGGCCCCACATTTTGCTATCCAAGGACACGTTGGGGTATACAAACTCCCACAAAGCCCTTCCCTTGTAGGGTTCACTGTGCTACATGACATTGCAACCGAAGCGCAACTCGCCGTTTACCACTCCCACGGAGATCTGGAAACCCTTCGTGCAAATCGGTGTAACGAATCCGCGATTGACCAAACATGTCTCGAGCTGCCATTGCCAAGTGGGTTACAATTTTCAACAATTGCCGAAATGGTTTTAGTCACCAGCTGGTTTCGTTAGAAAGTAAACTTTCTCTTCGCACTCTCTAGTGCGAAGTGGCCAGCCCGGTCCCCGCCGAGGCTGCCGAGGTTGCCGAGTTCAAGCCCCGTGATTTCAACACAGGCTCTCAAGTGCGGACAGAGTTGATGGTGGTCTAGGACCAGTTAGCGAATGAGTGCAACAAACCCACCCAAGTCTCTATATACTTTTGTTACCAGGTAAGGCCCACTGAGCTCTATAGCTCGTTTTAAAAATCGACCTGGCCACCAATGATAGCTCAAGGAAGTGGCTTATCACGTGTAAATGTAGAGCAGCCAAATACTCTTAAACGCGTGTTTCGAAACGTGGAGAGAAAAGCCAGAGGGGCCCGCGGAAAAATCCACGCGGCAACAGGGAGAACATGTCAAATATACAGCATGCGTCAGGGTCGGGATCGAACCTACGACATCCTGTATACCAGGCGAGGTAGTTAACATCTCGCCACCGTGGCACCCCCTTCCTCACGTATGTTGAACTTCTTTCACACCGTATGTAGCCAACCATGCTAATCGGAGGTGAAGGGGGTGAGACAATGGTAACATTCCTCAAATCGTGGAGTGGGTGAATTATGCTGCGCGTACGCGCGCACACACTAAACAATGCCCACAGGTGCGGCCACGGACATTCTTCTCGCGCTCGCACGACAGAAACAATCAACGCATTTCGCCTCCTCGTGTCGAGCGAGCGTGCGTGTACGAACAAAAACTACTAAGTTATCACCACCAACCTGGAACAACACAAAGCAACCTCTTGTTTTATTGGACACGTTAAATGCCTAACTTGCCACAGTATTTACAATACGTACTCGATATCTCCAAGTTTCTTCATTTATTACACACGTTTAACTACATTTGCCGAAATACCAAAATATACCAATAGTTTACATTCTAGTATTTGTTTCCTTGAGGGCCAAATGCTCGTTGCATAACTGGTGAAAAGGTTAATTTAGTTTGTAATCTAAATCAATGCAAGTTAAATATTTTTACTCACGATGTTTTTGTTTAAATCTATCCCACCAGGTGAATTCTGGACGTGTTTGAGCAAGCACCTATCACAACACTTCCAAGCGTTGAGAAGCGTACTGCAGCGTGTGCGTTGACGTGCAATGCATCGGTACACGTTAGACATCGAAGGATTCAAGCCCATAGCCACCGGTGTCTGTTCAAGACGTGTGCCATGAAGGTGGATCATTACCCGAAACGTCACCTATTACATACTTTTCCGTTTAAGGCCACACAGTGTCACTGACGAATTTGCCAAGTGTTTTTATTCAAGACGTGTACAGTCACATCCTAGTAGTTATTTCTTGGAAAAACACGACTTTACAAGTGTGTGCGTGTGTACGTGTAATGCGCACACGCGTGTCACACGTGGAAAGATTCGCCAATTGACTAAAATATATTACGCTCACAGCACGTGCACAGATGAGCGTGAAACTATTAACAATCATATACAAAAAGGTTCGCAGATATTTTGATGACAATGGTGAGAAACGTTAATAAAATGAATTGCTCGTCGCATTCCATGCAGGCTGATGCAGCGAGGGAGACTGGCACAAAGACAAAGAAAAAAAACATAAAATGCGACCGAGCACAACCTCGAAACCGTGACAATTCATCAAATCGCTGTGAGCGAGTGGGCTTGAACCACGGACACGCCTCGTACGTGCACAATACACCTACAGCATATCCTACAAATGTTTTAAGACTCCTTACCTTATCAGCGCGCGTTACATTTATCCCATCTCTCTCCCATGCACACTTTGCCCACCTCTTCATTCCCCTTTTTATTTAACAAATAAAAAATGGGAAGTGACCAGAAATAGATCGAGCTTTGGTAACCCCCTCCCCCCCGGAGAGTTTTAATTTATTCACGCGAGCGCGAGCTCCCGTAGCCAATCCGGGTGGTGGGCATCTCGCCGTAGCGCTCTCGAGGGAGGGTGGCCGCCATCCAACAGAAATACGGTAATGCGGTCGGATACAATTACAATAAATACGGTAATGCGGTCCGGGTACATTTACAAGGGAAGGTGGGGGGGGGTGGAAAATTTGGATGGAGAGGCTGGCATCTGTTCAGAGGGCCTTGTACTCCACACACTTGGAGGGGTCGGTGGGAAAATTCCTCTGGCAAACAGTCATCAGCCTCTTCAGCCCCTGGAGGAAGAGAGAAAACCACAACGACGTCGCTCGGCTGCTCGCAAAAAAAAGTCCGTCATCATCGGCCAGGATCGATCCGCTGCCGGATGAAGGTCTCTGCAATCTTTCGCGATCCTGGGATGTGATAATCGACCCAGCGGAGTGCGCACGAGCCCATTTCTTTGCTCCGTCTCCTCTCCGGGCATCCTCTTCTGGATCTACCCTCCCTACGGCAGGGCACCCCCCCCCCCCCCCCGATGATGTCAGATGTCAGAGCTGCAGACACACCGAGTAATTTGCCCCACACGAGGTGTGACGTAAAATCCGACAGAAAGCAGGCAACGTCCGTTACCAGTCGCAAGAATGCATTCTTTGTCATCGGCCATAATCCACGTGGTGCGGGATTAAGCTAAGCATTTTTTTAATTAGCAGGTAAGGCCCACTGAGCTACATAGCTCTTTTTCAGAAGCAGACCGGCCACAAATGATAGCTCAACGAAGTGGAATGTGGAACTTTATAGCAGCTAAATTCTCTAAATGTACATTTCTACATTTGTAGGGAAAACCGGAAGACACAGGAGAAAAATCCATGTGACCACGGGGAGAGAGATGCAAAATCCAAATATACAGGTGTCAGAGTCGGAATATAACCCACGACATCCTGCCGTGGCGATAAAGGCCATCGCCATCTCCCAGGGTCCTTGTGCCACAGACTGTGCAACGATGGCTCACTTAATGTTGTGGGTGGCTGGTGCTGGAACCTTGCACTGATCCGTTGCGGTTCATTCGTTAAACAAATAAGCCCATAAGATTGTTGTTTACTTTGTACTTAGTTTCATTGCTTTTCGATAATGGCGCTTTAATCTCACTTTTGTCGGTTATTTACGATTGAGATGTTCCTCGTTATGCAATGCGTCACGTGCATCCTGCCTTCTTTATTTGTGCCCCAGATCTGTCTCGCAAGGCATGGATCTTGGCGCTTGCTTGGTGATAAAACATGGTGATTAAGCGATGCTTACGCGAGCATGCATGCATTGTGTGTGTGAATACAGGGCGATTCATTTATAGTTAAGTCATTAAAATAATAGGGATGCATTATGGCAAAACAACATTTTATTTCGGACCCTTTCCATGTCAGTGGGCTTTACCTGGGAAGATAAAACATAGTTTAGTTTTATGTGTATATCTTTAAGTGATTTGTTTACCTTTTCTATACTTTGCACTCCTATCGTGTTTTTGTAGTATTTGTTGTTGTAACGTTATGACCTGCCCCTACTGGACATCTGTGAAAAAGAGCTTTATAGCTCATTAGATTCCTCCAGTATAAATGTTCTGATTCTGATGTCTCCCATGAGTCTCAATAAATATGATAAATCTTTCAAAACCGTCCTCTAAGATTAAAGCAACACACAAGAATGTGTACAAAGTACACAGCATCTGTGCATTATGCAAAAAATAAACGATGAGCATTTCCTGAACACGTGCATTGTGGTCCTAATCTGAGGTCATAAATACATTTGAGCAAATGTGACCGACTGGTGCACCGTGATCTATCGTGGCTTCACTGCTGCTATCAGTTGGTCACATCGACTCACAATCTGATTAACTATGAACAGACAAGAGGCCCACAGTGCTGATGGTCATATCATGATGCATAAAGACTGTACTTTTGACAGTGTGTGTTGTTCGAAACGTATGGTTTTCTGGCTTGCGCTGCAATTCTGCTATGATGGGGCTTTATCGTCATTTACAGATTTGAGTCTCCTCTAAGATCTGGAGCCATCGCTTTCACAATAATTCATTATGAATCAGTGGGATGTCTATAAATAGTCAATGCGACTCGTAACATTTTTGTAACTTTACAGCACCCAATGCCAGAGTTACGACCAACTTTATCATCAACCGAATTCACAACGACGTTGTCGTCCGTTGTGGACGTGGGCTACGCGCGAGCAGGCTACAGGCGAACGTGCGACCCTGGGTGCCGGCGCGCTCACCTGGATGTATTTGCGCTGCGTCTCGTCGTTGAGGACGTGCGCCACGTGCTTCGAGAAGATCTTCTCGCGACCCGTGCGGGCGTGGATGCCCACCATTGTGACCCCGATGGGCCACGGGGCGTTGCCAATGGCCATCTGCAGGTACACATCGTTGGCCTGCCAGGGCCCGCCCACCGAAGAAAACAATGTCAGGGGACGCGTGCAGGGAGGTTTAAGTTCGCAGCCGGAGGTGGGTGTGGCGATGAGAATGCGGCACCTGTAACAGGAGATCACAGCCCACCGATGCTCTGATCCCTCCACTGATTCTCAATCCTATCCCGGATCATTTTGAGATTTAACTCACTTTTTTTAAAGATCCTCCATGGAATCACCCCTGTCGACCTCTCCCCTCTCAGCTGGTCATCTACTGGACATCTGTGCAAAATAACTTTATAGCTCATCAGATACCTCCGGTATAAATAGATCCTAACCTGACTCTACTCCTCTCTAACTCTTCCCCAGGCAATCTGCGACCTCTCCCTTCTCATCGCTATCTACTCCCCACCACGCAACTTTCCTACCTCTCCCCTCTCATCGAACTCTACTCCCCTCCACGTACTCTCAGCTCCATTAACCAAGGCTTTCTATCAAATGCCCCGGTTAACCGTCGCTCAGTTGGAGGCCGCTCATTCTCCTCCTTTCTCCCAGCCCTTCGTGCTGCAGACTCCCTGTCCTCAGACGGTGCACAGAACTGTGGGGGTCCGTGTCTCGGGATTACCTTCACGTACTCCCGCTGCAGCACAAACTTGGTGATGTCCGTGAGGTACTCCTTGATGTCCGATGACAGATTCTTCACACACACAAGGACAAAGATTCCCCCCTAAATCATGAACATAATTTTGGGGCAAGTGCCATTAGCAAGCACCTATATGTTGAACTTCCTTCACACTGTACGTAGCCAACTGTGCTAATGGGGAGTGCGGGGGAAGGGCAACATACTAAACACAAAAAGCAGTTATACAGAAATTAATTTTCCATCTAAATTTAAAACTGTATAGCTCCAGTGCCTTCACGACGGGGTGGGGGGCCAAACCACGCCCAGTCACCTTCGTCTCCGCAGTGCTGCTGTTTACACATTGCACCAGGTACTAATTTGAGGCCGAGTCGACCTAAGGGAGGCCCAGGACCGGTTATGATAATCGTCACTGGCGTTGGATACGAGTGGGGATCGAACTCGGGTGGCCGGGTTCGGAGCGCAGCGCGCTAACCGCAACACCACCGCTCCCCATACACACGAGCACACACAGGCGCACGTACACAAACCACAACAGAGGCGTGCGTCACATTAATAATTCAAAAGGCGACCGGCCTTGCAGCTCGGCGAAGCTCACATTACAGTGACCAACAACGTGCACACCGACTCGGGGAAAGACGTCGCTAATAGGAACAATGACCTCGTGGCGAGAGCAGTGACGGCATTAGCTGTCAGAACACAGAACACGCTCAAGGGGAAGACCCAAAAGGGCAATGCAGTGCAGCAGTATGAAGCATTGCGCAAGGCAATTGACAAATGTTGCCATCAGCTATCGTCATCATTGCTGTTGCTGGAATTCTGTGAGATGGTGTTAATTCTAACATGCCCAAACCACCACAGTCAAGAGTACCAAGTAAAAAAAAAATTCCCCCACTCTTTTTTATATTGAACATGAAACACCCATTGCTGCCGAATTAATGAATTAAATGCCGCTAACATGAACCCCCCCCCCCAGCACCCGTTTTATAAATGATCTTATAAAAATGTAACGTGCATGAAAAACTGTAAAACTATATCTAGAGCAAATGGTGGTTGCTTAAAGAAATAATTGGGGGTTCATTTGCTCATTTTACCTGCCCTGGTTTGTAATGTTGGCCATAGGATTTATTTTGGGGTTTCAAATAAAACCGAGAAGATAAAAATGGCATTGATTCACGCTGCCACGCGCTCGAGTGTGTGGTGGGGGGCGGGGGGTGGGCCTGGCCGCTTCAGGCGAGGCCAGTGCTGCAGGGCAGCAGCAAACCTTTTTGCGGAGCTTGCGAAAGAGCGGCTGCAGGTAGGCCTCGGTCTGGCTGTGCGTGGCGCTGGCCAGCTTCCCCGCCACGCCTCTCTTCACGTGCTCCTCACGGCTGTTCAGCTCCTTAGCCCAGCTGCCCAGCAGGAACTGTCCCCCCCCCCCAGCCCGGCAGGCAGAGAGGGTTAAGGGGCAGTTGGCAGCAGAACGCAGCGCGGCGGACACCCATTACCGTACTCATATTCTATTGCATCTATGTATATATGCATGCATGTTGAACTTCTTTCGAACCGTACGTAGCACCCATGCTAATCGCTCTATGGTACAGTACTAAACAAAACGGTAGATATAATATAACCAGAACGTGCAGGACAGACAAAACAAACAGGACAGTGCAAATACCGACAGAACAAATGAGACGATATAAACGAGACAAATAAGAATTGGTTCCTAAAGCTGTTCATGGTCCCATATCTTCACAATTCACCAAACAGCTAGAGGGAAGAACAGAACAGTTACACGCTTGTGTTTGATATTCATGCATGAGAAAAAAAATATATATAACATTGCCATTGTGGTGTAGGGATATCTAATTTGAGATGTGTGGCTGTTGGTGTGCCCAAACATTTTGTCTCAATGACATACCTTTAAGACTTTCAGAATCAGGTCCATGTCCTGGTGGTCGTTTTCTGTGCCCAGAGTTTTCCCCAATTCCTGTTAGGAAACGACATTGAAAGTGGCACCACAGTCAGCATCCTTAACTCAAGTCTATGCATGCAAAGCGTGTGTTATAAACATGGACACATTCTTAAACCTTCACCCACAATGTCGTTATGAAGACATTTTCTCTTGTGAACAATGGTGGAGGGTTGTTGTATAACCAGAGGAAATTGAGAGACAGTTTGCGCATTTTTAGAACGACATTGCTTCACATTAGCAAGACAGATAAGTTTGGCTTTTCTGATGTTAAAATGAAAATAAACTTTTTTGTCCATCAGTCTATTGGCCTTCCCGACTACTGTATTTTTTTGCAATGTTGGCAAATGAAAAAACATTACAAATCAAATGTTTATGGACACTGGGTTTTAATAAGGCTCCACAGGCTGATGGGAAAAAAATGCAATTAAATTTTTACATGGTCAAACAGCCTTCTCTGTTCCTTTTATAATTTACTATCCAAAATTAATCGTAACAGCTGATAACACATTTCGTGCCAGCAAAGATAACTCGTAGACCAATTCTATTTTTTGCTGTTGGAAATTATGGGAAACTCAGACAGAAAAGCACATGCGGGCTGGAAACAAATAAGAGTAATTAATATTGCGGGTGCATCAAACCGTACAAGTACGTGCCATCTGCTTCACAGCGGACGTTAAGGTGAAGTTTTATTTGTTGAGGCCGTGACAACGTTCATGCACGGCGAGGGGCCACTGTGCCGGCATTGTCGTCTAGATTTGCACAAAATAGATAACTTCCTGCAAATTACTCAAGAGGAATATACAGAACAATCATCGCCATTCCCCCCACCCCGACTGCGAAAACTTAGCAAGATCCTCCTGTCAAAGAGTCATGAGGCTCAGTAGGGCTTTCCTACATAAACAAGCATGATAATAAAACATGCATGAGTTGTAGAGTTGTCGAAATTTTTCCAATTGTCTTGCTGTCTAAAATAACGCGGCTATGTTGTTTTCAATGCAAGGTCATGTCACATGAGCAAGGTTGTTTTCAATGCAAGGTCATGTCACATGAGCAAGGTCATGTCACGCTCACAATCACACCTGTGCATCAATAAACTCCAAATTATCAGGTCGTTAAGCTGTTAAGATGGCCTCGGATTTAAACGGGCGTACACTGTGGCTGGCAACTATACCAATTTATGAAATTAAGTTCTCCATCACATATTCAGAACCAAGATGGGGCATGTGAAACGTAATCCACCACCAGCCACCTCGACACTCACCTGCAGCTCTTCGATGGTGGTGTTCTCCTCCTGCACCTTGAGGTCGTTCTGACCTTCCTCCTCCGTCTCCTGCCCGGCCGCCAGCTCGTTCAGGTACTGCAGGTCGATCTTGTCCATGGCTGTCTTCAAGTCGTTCCTCAAACCCTGCACCGCAGAGGTGGAAAGAATACCGGGCGATTGGACTGGCCGTGGGCTTGACGAGAATGTCAGAAAATATATATCATCACAATTCATGGACAGATAGCCCGTAGGTGTCTACTGCACATTTTGTAATTTGTTTACACTTTCCTATCTTGTGCCAATATGCTCAAATAGCGCACATCTTTCTGGCACCAATCTCTTTCATGTCGTCATTAAACCATTCGCTTTTAGGCCTTCCTCTCTTTCCGATTCCTTCCATTTGGTGGCACAACATCACTTTTAATTTCCCAGTCAATCCTACATGTGTCAAAATAGGTGCCAGTTTCCTTCTCATCACTGCCTGCATTATCAGTTCTTCTTCTATGTGCAACAACATAAGGATAGTTCAAACAGGTAGCAATTCGGCTGACTGCGACTAAAGCGTTATTTTAATTATTTGGTGAACAAGTGATCTTTGTGTATTTCTGACGCATTAGTTATTACCCTCACGCCTCCATGATGGCTTTTTAGCTATCAGTATGCCGTGAACACCAGATGTGCTTATGAATAACATCTTCTGTGAGTAAAGTACCCAGAATGCATTCAATTTAGTCAAATTCTCCGAATCTAAGCAGAGTTTATAATACTCTGGATGATTGTTCCGACATGCGTAACAGGTGTTATAGGCTGAAAAACTAGGTGGTGGGCGGCAGAAGGCAGTGCAACAAAATCCATTGTGGTACTGCGCTTCTACGTGTCCACGTGCATGCTACCCAACATTCACCAACCCACAGCGACCAGCGTGGTACAAGCACTGTCGAACAACTCCCACAATCCCCAGTGTCGGGGAAGTCCTCATCCAGCAGTGGATTAACAAAAATGGCTGCCCATGTAAGTATCCGCAAAGAGTCGTAAAGTGCAGTGGCTGGCTGGTTCGTTGGTCACGTGACAAACGTTTCCCACCACAAGGCCTGCGCATGAGGGACAGGCGCCCCCTTACTGTAATGATGAGGTACAGCAGTGTCAGTGGTGGGTGAAATAAATCTTGACTTAAAGCTTTCGTGACTGCAGGAATACATATTCTATGGGTCTTTCGGTAAAGCCAAGAAAATGTTGGTGTAGTTAGTTGACAACAGTGTGCTATAAAAATGCCAATCCATGGCTAAATATCGGTGGCAATTTATATTTACACCGGTCCTGGGCCGCCCTATCACCAACCCAGCATTGGCCAGAAATAAGTATGCTCGAACAACCCTCACAACTGACAATATAAAAATCACTATAAACCATTTTTTTTATTTTACCAGGGTAAGGCCCACTGCTATACAGTTATTTTTCAGAAGAGACCTGGCCACAAAAGATAGCCAAATGAAGTGGCTTATCACGTGTAAATTTAAAGCAGCCAAACATTCTAAACGCATGTTTCTAAATGTAGAGGGAAAAACCGAAAGACCTGGAGAAAAATCCAAACGACCACGAGAACACAGAAACTCCAAAAATACTGGCATCAGGGTCGGGATCGAACCCACGACCTCCAGTATACCAAAGCGAGGTAGTTAACATCTCGGCACGTTGTGGAGAGGCCTTCAACCAGCAGTGGATTGAGAAAAGCGCTTTACGATATAATAATTATTTTAATTGAGTTGAGATCAAAAGTCACTTGTAGGGATGTCAGAAGAAGTTCTGTGAAATCTGTTTCCACGGTCCATTCTCTAGCACGGGACGACACACCACTCTGTGAAAACTTAAAACTGTCTCATAACAAAAGACCCAAGAGCACAATTGCAGAAGTGGCAAAAGTAAAACTATAACTAAAGTCACTGAGTAAAAGTGAACACTACGCGCAAACATTTCATTGTATGTAAATGTACAATGCTATTTAAATGGAAATTAGTTGCAAGAAATATTTAATTGGATTTTATTTAGTTTTATCCCCCAAATCTCCTCCAATTGTGCTAGCAATGTCATCAGTAAAGCTGCGCTATCAGAACTCAGCAGCTACCAGAGCATCACCTTGTGCCAGAGAACGCCCCCATTAGATGACTTTGCAAACAACTCATGAAATTATTTTAAAAAAGCACTTTGTCACACACCTTGAATAACACACCCTGCAGAAAGTGATCACAGAATGCCAATACAATTGAACATTTGAATTCTCAGAACTGAAATTCAGCCAAATTAAGTGACGAAACCCAATGTAACTATGGGGTTTTTGTTAACCCACCGCCAGTGGGAACCCAGTTTAACCACGGGTGGCGAGATGCTAACTACGTCGCTTGTTATACAAGAGGTCGTGAGTTCGATTCCGACCCTGGCGCCTGTATATTTTGAAGTTTCCATGTTCTCCCCGTGATTGTGCGTATTTTTCACCAGGTCCTCTGATTTTTTCCCTCCACAATTAGAATCAACATGCGTTTAGAGTATTTGGCTGCAATAAATGCCCATGTGATGAGCCACTTCGTTGAGCTATCATTTGTGATAGCCAGGTCGCTTCTGAAAAAGTGCTATATAGCTCAGTGGGCCTTACCAGGTAAAATAAAAAGTGTATAGCTTATACAGAACCCCGGTTCACGTACTTTGTTAACTTCGGGCGCGAGGATCTCGATCTTGCGCAGCCGCTGGAACGCGTCGTAGTCGCTCTCGCTGAAGAGTCGAATTGGCTCTGCTCGCTCTCGCAGTCGCTTGATAACCTGCGGAGAGGGTGTTTACACAGCACGCGCAAGAATAATAATCACGTACAGTTGTTGGCTATCGGATTACCTGTGGTCGCGATTATCCGGGTGGTGGATTACAAAAGAATAAATATTATTAGGAGGCACTGGTTCCACTGTCAGCCGCTCTTCACTCGTCACGGGTCATTGACCCAATGCTGCAAATGTCGACAAATAAATGGAAACGTGCGATTTTAGCATTACAAGAATAACTTTCACAATTGTTACATTTTCCCCAGGTAAAATTACATGTACTTTGTTCACTGCATTTCCATGTGGAATAATGACCACACTCTACGTCTTCACACCTGTTCTATGTAGGTAAAACGAACATGTTTTTATCACTTAATTCGTATATATATCTTTTGCAATACCTGTATTAATTTTATCCAGGCTTCCCTCTCCTCCCGCTCCCAGAAAATTAAGTGAATTACGCCAAAAACTTGCCTATCGTGGGTTTTCCCATCGCGGGTTTGACCATTCGCATAAAATTCATTGAAGTATTGTCGCCAATCGTGCTCCAGTGGCTCAATCATTAGCAGCTGACCGCGAGATTTCTCTACGCATCGTGGCTGCAATGCTCGTGATGATGCTGCCGTGGAAGAACACACGCGCCATCTTTTCCCCATCTTGTCTCCGACGCAGTCCATCGCGGGTCCCAGTTCACGTGTTCTCAGCATCCAGCGATGGGCACGGTTTTTTGTGTATTTTGTAGTGCAGAAACAATACATGCAATACTCTCTGGTTCTTTCGGTAAAGTCACGTAGATAGAAAAAATAATCAAATAAAATAAAACACGACGTTTCGGTCGCAACACAAGCGTCGGTCTTCAGGGAGTGGAAAATGATGGCAAGCTACCATTCCTGGATGTTTTGATCGAGAAGAGATCTGATGGCTCGTTGGGACACTGTCTATAGCAGGGGTCGGGAACCTATGGCTCGCGAGCCAGATGTGGCTCTTTTGATGATTGCATATGGCTCGCAGATAAAACAAAATATTCTCACTTGTTTTAATCCATCCATCAATTTTTCACTGCGCATGTCCTGTTCAGGGCTGCAGGAGCAATTGTCCATTATTTTTATTGGATGATACTGGCCTACGTATGCATGTGAGCAGTCATTCTCACATCTTAAAAACATCAAGTCCAACCAACGATCACGTTTAACGGATGAAAGCCTCAATGCTTGCATGAAGCTTAACCTCACCAAGTACCAACCCGACTACAAAGACATCAGCAAATCCATGCAGCACCAGAAGTCGCATTAATGGTGAGTGTTATAACAACATTATTTAAAAGAATAAATTCAGAGGCTTATTATATTGACATTTAGTTGAATTCACTTTTAAAATATATTATATGGCTCTCACTGAAATAAATTTCCAATTTTTTTGCTTTCATGGCTCTCTTAGTCAAAAAGGTTCCCGACCCCTGGTCTATAGGAAAGCCACCCACACGGATCCTATCTAAAGCCTGACTCCCACCACCATCCAGCCCAGAAGAATTCCTCATCAAAGTACTACACCATAGGGCCCGTTGCATCTCCGACCAGCACCACCTAGCCAGTGAGCTTGAATACGTATGCCAGGCTCTCAGGAGGAATGGATATTCTGACCGCACAATCCGCAAAGCTGCATCCCCAACCATGGGTAGAGAACCGTCTGAGGAACCAATCAAAACCATCACCTTACCATACATAGCAGGGGTCACCAAAAGGATTGCCAAAATTTTAAACAAACTCAAGATCCAAGTTCTGTTCAATACAGTACACAAAATACGTGATTTGATCCCATCGGTGAAGGATGCGATTCCGGACATGCAATGTCCTGGTGTCTATAAGCCGAGTTGTGTCTGCAGCAGCAGTTACATTGGTAAAACGAAGCGACGTGCCTTAGACCGGGTTCGCAAACATAAAGTGGATTTGAAACACGGCAGAACCAACTGCTCGGCGGTGGCGGATCATTGTTTCAACGCTGTGGGCACACATGACATTGTTTTCTCCGAGACCAAGGTGCTTTGCAAACCCTCGGGCCACCTTCAGAGATTTGTTCATGAAGCCATCCAGATATACAAACACAGACAAAACTTTAATCGAGAAGATGGATTCAGATTGAGCAATCGTTGGAAGGATGTGATAAAGCACGTCAAGTTAACTGCTATGATTTTCACTCACCCACCCGGTTGTCGTCGTCCTCACTCACCCACCCGGTTGTCGTCGTCCGATTACTACTTGTACTACAAGTCCATTTGCTAATTTCTCTGGCCCCTCCTGTCCCTGCACGCCACAAACCCTCCCCCCGCTCCTCTGTGAACTCCAACAGCCAAACTCCGTCCCCCCCCCCTTTCCTCTCCACTACCGTGCCTATATAAAGCCACAACAGCAGATCATTTTTTCTCACCTGAAGATGGATGCTTGTGTTGTGACCGAAACGTCGTGTTTTTTCTTTTCTATCTACGTGACTTTACCGAACGAACCAGAGAGTATGGATTCCTGCAGTCACGAAAGCTTCAAATCAAGATTGAATACATGCCATGTTTAAGATGCATAGTCATTATGATTAAAACATTATTTTGAAATGATTATTTACATTTGTATTTGTTGTCATGATGGGATTATGAGAATCATGGTTGAGAGACTGCTGGGTTTCCATGTTTTTTTTTTATCTGGTTATAAACAAAGGTATATTATGACAAAAAATTTACAAAGGTGACCGACGCTGTTGTCAAAGCAAATAAAGCAAATGGAAATGGGCAGCGCGCATCGTGAAAAAAACTGACACGACCTGGAGAAGAGTAACTGCAGAATGGAGACCGACAGAATGGCAAAATAAGCAGAGTAAGGCAGCGTAAGACAAAAGGTGAGTTGACATCATAGAGTTTAGAGTCCACTACTGGACAGGAGTGACCAAAGAAGGAATGGAAGTGGGGAGAGCCTTTGGCCAGCAGCGGGATGTTACTGGCTGATGACAAAAAATCTACCATCACGCTGTCAATACGCACCTCCTGCCGGCTCAGCGTCATAGGCAGCTTCTCCCCCATGAGCTCCATGTCCATCATGCTGCTCGTGGCAATCTCCTTCTCCTCCTGCTGATTGGCCATCATCTGGGGTTGTTTCTGTTACACATTGCACCCATGGTATTAGTTTAGTTTACAAACTCTCTCGTAATCAGCTCCTCAACTTTTATTTGGTAAATTTTGCCATGAGAAAGACTCAACTAGATTGTGAAACTTACTGATATGACGATTTGTGGTTTTATTTGGCGGTGGCAGCAGGGCAGTTCCACAATTTTGGACCGACATTTCAGACACTTTCAAGACAGGGGTATTAAGTAGTATAATCACAAAGTGGCTCTTTTACTGTGGCATTCCATGTCCAAAATTTAGGATTGCGATTCAATTTTTTTTAATGAAATATCCACCTTTCTGGATAATGGAGAAATGCTCATAAAATATCAAGGTGATAGATGCACTCAAGACAGAAAGGAGGTTGGATGGTGCATTCAATTATGTGTATGAAATTGTTTTGTTCCTTAAGTTAAGCCACATTTTCTATAATTACCTTAAAAAATAAGATGATTGTTAAATTATAACTGAGGTTGGTTTCCCATTTTGTGGAACTGCCCATTAACATTTGAGCCTTTGAGCAAAGCAAATTATTTGAGAGTAATTTAAAATTGTTCCCAAGATAAACGATTGTAGCGAAAGAACATGGTTTAATGCTAAACATGGATTTCAAGCAGAAAATAAGTTATATATTACAATTAATTGGTGGAGCAGCTTTGCACACGGAGTTTACTCACATTTCAAAAATATTTAATAAGCCAACCAACATTCCCATCTTAAACATTCCTTATTTCTCTGCACCGGAATCTTATTGTATGGTCCATGCGTGCGATTCACATGGCGCGATAGAAGTTATTTGAATGGAAGTTCCTGCTCTCTTTTTAAAACAAGAGAAAATAGAAACTGCCAGCCAAATCTAGAAATAATAAGATTAATTCCTTAAACGTAAAGCATAGATGTGATATCATGAAAATAAAACATAAAAAACGAGAAACGCAGCTTGCAAACCAAAAACAGCCACATAAATATCGCAAATGTTTTCCTGCAAGCAACTACAAAATTACTTCAAACAGTTTCATGCCTTTACAAAAAAACACTATCAAACCATCCAAAGGCTATGGTTACAGAACAAATTGGCATGTAACTGGTTAAAGGAATTTGTAGCAAGTGGAAAGGAATAAAATAAAAACCAATTGTATAAGCAGCCTGAGGTCTGCTACCATACCTCGGTCGCCTTGTGAGAAGCCCTCTGTTGGCACAACATCAACACACTTGGCAGTTACAAGTCGCTGCTTCCACATCTCTACCAAAAGGTATCAAGTAAAAGCAAAGTATGCAATAATAACATATTGAAATTCTGAAAGGGATCAGTGGCCTTTATTTTTTCTGTTGTGGAAATATTATTGTCCACTGGTCTGTCCGTCCATCTGAGGACACTTCAAAAACATTTTCACTTAAAGTACATTTCCCAAACAAAATTAAAAATGAAGCTTGCCACATAGTTTACCAATATCAATAAGCAGGATATGCATAGTTTCTGGGCCACAATCTCAATTAGATACTTTCAATACAGCATTTCAATAACAAATATAACTCTCAATGCACATCGGGATGTTTAGAAAACACGTGTACATTTAAATGTGGGTTTCTGTGGGCACATTCCCTTGCACAGTGGAATCCTCTAACATAGGGTCATTTCACTATATATTCTGGTGGGCCACATTGATAAAATTAGCATGTGCTAGCGGGCCACTTGACATCATAGTGTGAAATATATGAGTTATGATGTCATAACGTAGATACATGTGACCGCCTTGTCTCCAGGCCTCTCATCTTTTTGTTTAGTCTAACTCTCATTGCACTAATCTGTATCTCTGTCTTAGTGAACCATATATCTTGGCGGGCCACTCCAAGAGCATTCACAGGCCAGATGAGGCTTACAGCCCCACTAGTTGAAGAACCATGCACTAGCAACATAGAGGCTCCCTTAATAGACTGTCCGGTCAGCTTGTTTTCTTTCACATAAGCCCACGCAGTACTCCAATTTACAAGATGCAGAATTGTAAGCATTTGAAGAATCAAGAATATTCAGGGTCATCATACCTTGAGGCCGCATCTCTCATAGTATGCCTCCTCTTCTTTCTTTGCCAAGTCACCTCGCTTGAAGTACCTTTTGTTACCCTGGTTAACAAAACAACACACAAGGAGATGTTTACGTACAATGTAAACAAATATATACATCTGAAAAGTGCGCAAAGAAGCGTGGACCAGTGAATAGTTGTACTTACACTGAGAGAATAAGGAAAATATGCAAGTTAGAGGACAGCAGTTTTGAATTGGGCTTGGGCTGGACAGGTCTCAAGATGGGATGAGAGTTTGTAGAGATAAGCAACAGCAATGCAGCTAAAGGAGGAAGCCAGTGTAGAGTACGTCCACTCCTGTTCTATTATTGCACATTGGCCACGTGTTCAGGAGCCCAATGCCAATGTCTAGGCCTGCCAGCCACGAGAGTAGCTGCAGGCGAGGGAGTTAGTGTGGTTTTAACTCTTCCTTCCATTGAAGTGGAGCCCAGGTTAAAACGTGGCCCATAGTGTTGGATGCATGGCCACAGTCGCAATGCGGGCCTGGCTTTTAATTTCCCCGTTCGTGAAGGAGACGCTGCGCAATGGGCTCGTAGATCGTCCACTGATGAGATTGAGGGATCAAATCTGCCGGTGTTGCTGGTGCGAGCTAGCGAGATGGATCGTTGCGTCGCTAAACTATGAGACAGATGGTAACATATCGGGCAATTTTCCTTTCATAGCACATAGAAGAGGCCAGGGGGCGGCCCATTTGTCTTATGTTGTCTGTGACAATTATTGACTATTATTAGTGCTTGTGTGTGTAATCTACAGATATTATACCGCAGTGATGTCTATGGTAATCGCACCATGCTCTGTTTTCAACAGGCGACAAGAATATTGAACAGTACCGCTGTTTCATATTCTTGGTTCTTTCGGTAAAGTCACGTTGAAGGGAAACAATAAAATATATAAAACAATAAAATTCTCACGACGTTTCGACTGTAACAGTCATTATCAGGTGTGAAAACCAACGGCAAGAAACATTTGAAATGTTTGAAATTTTTCTTGCCGTTGGCTTTCACATCTGATGATGACTGTGGTACAGTCGAAACGTCGTGAGAATTTTATTGTTTTATATATTATTTTATTGTTTCCCTTCAACGTGACTTTACCGAAAGCACCAAGAATATGAATCTCTGCAGTCACGAAAGCTTTAAATCAAAATGTAGTACCGCTGTTGTTGTTATTCGTGCGAGACGTGCATAACAGGGTTAAAGCAACACGTTTTCAACTTCCGTCTTCAAACATTTTACATCAGACACATCAAAGTCACGTTTCCCATCGAGGTTGTTGAGCCAAATGATTGCTGCTTAGTATTTTAGTGGCTTAACTAATAAATATAACTCCTATCCTGTACAGTACCGTACAACACGCATACAGTTAACGCGTACGTAGCTTTCGTTTCGATTGAAACGAACACAACTTTATAACACGCGCGCGTTATTTTGTTGTTGCTAAATTACGTAATGCGGTAAAATAATATAATCGGTCGCTACTTAAAATTCGCTGTCGCGATGAGAGAAGCCTGCGGCGTTAGGCCCCTGCGGTAGGCCGTCTTTAATAGTACGACTAATTAACACTTTAACAGTGTTAAAGTGGAACTCGGTGTTTGTTGTTAACAGTCGCACGGGGGGGGGGAGGGGGGGCGGTTTACCTCCACGAGATTTTTATCCTCTATAAGTTTCCTTTTCCTCACGATCTCCGCTTTCAGAAAGTCCATCATGAGAGCCTTCCAGAAGCGGCCAGTGCGTGTGCGTGGGGCAGCCACATCCGGGTCTGCGTGGACGTCGGTGGAGGAGGGGCACAAGCCAATCACAGAGGGAGCTGCAAATCTCTCCAACAGCAGAGGGCAGTCGAGCAAAACTCATGCCTGGCATTGCAGCGTTCTTCGGGCCACTGGCGGCTGCCGGTGGCCTTTAGTGGGGGACCCCAGTGGCCTTTAGTGGGGGACCACGGTGGCCTTTAGTGTGGGACCCCAGTGGCCTTTAGTGTGGGACCCCGGTGACCTTTAGTGTGGGACCCCGGTGGCCTTTAGTATGGCCCCCGGTGGCCTTTAGTGCGGCCCCCGGTGGCCTTTAGTGCGGCCCCCGGTGGCCTTTAGTGCGGGACCCCGGTGGCCTTTAGTGTGGGACCCCAGTGGCCTTTAGTGTGGGACCCCAGTGGCCTTTAGTGCTGCCCCCGGTGGCCTTTAGTGTGGGACCCCAGTGGCCTTTAGTGCGGCGCCCGGTGGCCTTTAGTGTGGGACCCCAGTGGCCTTTAGTGGGGGACCCCGGTGGCCTTTAGTGCGGCGCCCGGTGGCCTTTAGTGCGGCCCCCAACAATACACAGCTACAAAATGAGACTTTTTTGCCAGTATCAAAGTATGACAAAATATAGGTTAGGGTTAACTCTTTCTGGAAATAAAATAGGCATTAAGATGTTCAAACGCCAAATAGAACCCTTTTGCAAGGAATCAAGTCTGCATTAACCACACGTACCTGTGGTGAACATACAAACAAACATGCTCTGATAATATCCGTAATACACTATTCAACGATTTAAAAAAAAATGTTTACCAGGTAAGGCCCACTGAGCTATGTAGCTCTTTTTCAGAAGCGACCTGGGCGACAAATGATAGCCCAACAAAGTGGCTCATCATCACGTGGACATGAATAGCAGCAGCCAAGCCCTCTAAACGCTCGTTTAGACACACACCTGTGCGTTGAACGAATAACGAATTGGCACGTTCTATTGACGTGACAACCCTTACCAACTGGGTTAACGACACGTTCATATTTACGCGATCTAACCACCCCAAAAAAACGTTCTTTATGGATCACCGCATCTCATTAACCGACCGATTAATATTCCACCTCTGACCCCCCCCCGCCCCCATCGAGAGCCCCGCCCAGTTGATGGCGGACGTCACATTCCCACACAACGGAGAAGCGCCTCGTGACCGGGGAACCCGCCAATGGGATGCGCGCATACGCGACCCCGACCAATCGCGTGGCCGGATTCGGAAAGCGTCGGTGGCGCACGAGCCCGGGGGAGGAGGAGGGGGGGGCCACGCGTTAAAACATGGCGGCCACCACGCGTGGCTAACGCGAGCAGTGAGTTAACTCGCCCCGACTCATTCGTCTCCCCGTGATAAGTTCACCGCGGACAGAATGCGCGCGGCGTCTGCTGGCGTGGACGTGTAAGCCGTGATTTAAAAAAAAAAACCGTGCGCGAAGTTTTTACGCGTCAATGCCGCCCGACGCAACGTGGTTAGGTGGTGTCTGCCCAGTCACGCGGGGGGCCTACGCTCAGGCTGCGGTTTGAAATCTAGGCGAGGCCGAGAAAGTCACCGGCTTGAGGTGGTGTCCAGCTTTTTGAGGGTTTAACGTCTTTAAAGCTGGGCGATCACAGTTACTGCTTTTTAAATATTTTTTTAATATCACTACTTGGGGCTAATTACAGTTCGAGAGACTGCTTTGGTAGCTAAAATTACAATAGCGAATTGAGTAACAAGACTTACAATCGACCCCACACGGTGTATTTGCGCTGCTGTGTGAGTTCCCCAGCTGTGGTGCGTGTTGTTTGCTTCGCAGGACCAGCGGAGACGACAACCGACCTCGTCGTCGCGGTTAAATGGGCAGTGTTGCGATGGATGAGCTGGCGCTCCGGGGTTTGGGGCCCGTGGCAGATTCGTGCGCGCAGCACAGGGTAAGCGAAGCCGTCTCGTCTCTTTTTTTTTACAATTCTATCGTCTAATTTATAATGTACTTCAACCTTTTTATCGATCCTTTGTTGGATGTGTATGTATGTATGTAGAACTTCTTGCGCGCACCGTACGTAGTCAACCGTGCTACGTACGGTAGCTACGGGAAGGACAACCAAACTGAAGGGAAAGTAGTTGTAAAGAAATTAGTTTTCAATCTAGGTGGCGGCCTGGCCTATGCCGTGTTGGTCGTCTGACCATACTTCGCGTCGGTCAGGCAAGAGTTGGTGAAGTGGGCAGGGGAGCGGATGGGGAGGGTGGCCCAGATTCGATTCCGATATTATAGCTCGCCACTGATGTTGTTCGTGACCGGGAATGTAACTCGAAAGGTTGCCGGCCTCTTGAGCGCATTGCGCCAGTGGCTGCGCGACTTGCCGCCCCCACGCCGTTATGTACGTACACATGTTCTGTTAAAGAAACAAAACGTTATATATTTTTTAAATTCGTTATGAGACCACGTTTTTATGATTTTTTTTTAAAGTAAGAAATTGATAATCGGCCATGATTTGTATGGAAACCTCGCAAGCCGTGCTGTCTCCCGGTCACGCGATCCAGCAGCAATCCGTCGTCGGTCTTCGACACACGCACACGTCGATTTTCTCGCCGCGAAATCTCCACGGGGGATGCCTTGTGAAACGACATCGCTCCTTTTTAGAGAGGTCCATAGTTTGTTGTGCAGGTAAAGAAAATCTTTTCAGAGCCCTCTAATCAAGTGCGGATGGCTGATCCGTCTCGTATGATGGCCCAGTGAGCGCGTGCATCGCAACATCAACAATTCCCCAGCAACATTGGCAACTCGTGTCAAAACAGATTCGCACGTAACGCCAAGTATGATGCAACGCTTGCGCAGAGCATACACCAGAAAGAGATGCGTTGCCGTTGCGTGTGACTGTAATTGGAGTGTGTTCGTCCCTAAGAACTGCAATTTGGTTGCAACGTGCCTCTGAGCTCATCACGCATTCCCCCATCCACCCTGCGTCTGATGCAATAGACTCGCACATGGCTGCAAGAAGTGGCCAACCTCATATGTGCTCTTGCCGTTATAAAACACCCTTGTTGTATAAATACACGGTGTTCAATTCTTGGCCTATGACCAAACCACCCATATTTCTCCTGATTTAGTTAGATAGCGGAAGCTAAGCAGAGTTAAGCCTGGATAGTGTTTGTATGGGTGAGCACCATGCAGTTGTCATAGGGCTTGCGAGGCTACGTGGTGGGCAATACTGTAGCTCTTTCCCTCCCCATGCTGGTGCTGCCTGGTTTCACCAACCCATACTGACTGGGGTGCCACGGTGGCGAGGTGTTAACTACTTCGCCTGGTGTACAGGAGGTCGTGGGTTCAATCCTGACGTGTGTACATTTGGAGTTTGCATGTTATCCCCGTGGTCGCTTGGATTATATTCTCCGGATCCTCCAGTTTTTTTTCTCCACATCTAGAATCCACATGCGTTTTGGAGTATTTGGCTGCTATAAATTTCCACGCGATAAGCCACTTCGTTGAGCTAGCGTTTGTGATAGCCAGGTGGCTTCTGAAAAAGAGCTGTATAGCTCGATGGACCTTACCTGGTAAGAAAAAATAGGCTGGCTTGGTCAAAATACCTGCCACAACCTGTACAGTGTTGGGAGGCCCTCTTGCAGGGCACTACCAATACGGATGTGAATGTACATATTTGCTTCGTGACAAAGCAGTGGGAGGTGTGGTTTTTTATTCCCCGAATATTTTTTTATCCAAGCAAAAGTGTGTAAAAATGTTGTGCAACTACCGTGCTGGTTATGGATATGGTGGCGGGGGGGGGAGATACCCCTCTAACATGCACAGAGGAGCAAGCCTATACTGAGGGCCCTTACGGTAATAGGCTTCATGGCCCCCATTGGCCGTTTGACATGGACTCCCTCCTGGCTATGCAATATACTACTGGGGCCTCCTATAACCGAATGATCATTTCTATATTTTATACTAATGCTTGTTTTGATGATGGCTGACTTTAATCTAGCTATTTTGACGTGAGGCTTTGTGGATCAGACAAATATGTTAAACTCCCAAACCCCTTGGCTGCGAGGTTGCCAATGAACGGTAGTACATTGAGCAGCTTCGTATGCATTCGTGTGGAGCTTCGCGGGGTTATCCGCTCCGGGTAATCTGGTTTCCGCCCACATGAAGCCACAATCTCATGAATAATGTAATTGGCTACACATCCAAATAATGTGGGTTCTTTCTGAAATAAGAGTCTTGACACTTGGTGAAGCTTCATAGATAAACAAAGTATCATTATGATTGTAATGAAGTATGAACTTTAGTTACAACCTTGGTTAACACCAGGTAAGACCCCATTGAAACAGTGTTTGTATTAGGAAGGTCACTTTATTGGACTGGTTTTTCAACAAAGGTAGGTGGCGGACACAATGCAGAAATAGCAAATTTAGGGGACAGTAAGTGAATGGAAATGGATTTAACATGAACAAGCTCCGTGTAAACTGGTTGTATATTCACATGCCTAGCTCATTTTACTGTTTAACACATGCTCACAGGTTTAGCTTGTCAATAAATGCTTGCTGTATACCCTAAATGTCACTACTCGGACTGCTATAATATATGTTTGCGTTATGATAGATACAAGATAGGCATGGTATAGTTTGAATAGCCTAGATTTGTTGTATGTCAGAGTCCACACACTGTTAAAAAGAGCACTTGCATTTTTATTATTATTTAATTGGTGCCATGTTGACAACCTGGAAAGAATGATCGAATGTTGAAATTACACTCGGAATGTAATGGATTGTGCACGAATTCCATGACTCACAGATGTTATGTTGGTTGTAACGTCTGGATGTAGGTAAAGTAATGACTTAACTATATCATTGTTTGCTTGTCTTGAGTTTTCAAAGTGTTTTTCATGTTTGAGGAAAATAAGTACTTGTTAGTTACTAAGTACAGTATTGCAAACAAGATGTTCATGGTGTGCCGCAACAAAATGTATAATACCCATTTAGTTTTTGACACTTGGGTTTTCAAGTCTCGTAAGTTGATGGTCTCAACTCCACCAATGACTGGAACACATCAATCGCATGACATTTCTTTGTGCTTGGACAAATTCCAGCTCTTGAAAATATAAAAACATCTTTTATTCGTAGCACAGTGGGTGATAGTGCTGTACTCATCTTTGTTGGCCAGAGGTCCACTTGAGTTCTGAGTGGTCGCTCTGTGATAGTGCTGTCCGTGGGCCATTCTCAAACTAAGGGTTGCACTGCTGTGGGAGATCCGAATGGTTTGTTCATCTTGCGGCATGCCGATATCACACGCGGAATATTTTTTTATTAAGCTTTTGGCTCCTTTTGTTTGCGTGAAAATCCGTTGGGAGCCATGCTTACGTTGTGCTTAGACCTCTTGTTGGCAGTTTACATTGTTAGTGACCCATTGATATGTTTTGGGCCCCCCCCCCCACGAGTACGATTGCTGCATGTGCAATTTATTGTTTGCACAGGCAGAGACTGAGCCGCGTAAAAGCTGTTTTCAGCCTGATGGAATTTGTTTTGTTCCTACAGATGTGTGCGTGTGTGTTTGGTGTGTCATTGAGAGCGGTAGTGTAACGGTTAGCGCGCTGCGCTACGAACTGGGCCACCCGAGTTCGATTCCCGCTCACGGCCAACACCAGTGACGATTATCTGATCCGGTCCTGTGCCTTCCCTAGGTCGACTCAGCCTCAAGTTAGTACCTGGTGAGGTGTGTAAACATAGCCACTGGGAAGACAAAGGCGGCCGGGCGTGGTGTTGGCCACCCACCTCCTCGTGTACCGTGCCAACCTTGATGGGTGCTCGCTAACAGCACTCGCCCCACCAGTCTGTTCAGGCAATAGGAGGATCTTTGTTTTTTGTGTCATTGAGATACAGTGCTCGCATAAATTGAAGGCACCTGCACAATGCCTGTAATATATTGTCTTATGTGAGATTAATTTGAGACGTTGAATAACCATGAAAAAGGCTGATTTAATTTAAAACTGTTACGTACAACATTTTTAAATATTTAAATATGGGTCTGAATGTTGGTAGTATAAATACTACAGAGGAGCACGTGGTGTGCACCTTAGAAATCAGGTTTTACATATATATTCTGGAGGAATCTGATGATTCATGAAGCTCTATCTCATCATGAGGATTGTGAGATGGATCACGGGGATTGCAAGAGTAGGCCGGGCCAGAAACGACAGGTGAGAAAGTAGGCAGGTGTTGGTGGTACCAGTAACAGAAAAAAGTCAACTTGGATGGTTTGTGGCATATCGTACGTACTTGCACCGGAACGAAGATGATGAGCATGGAAGCACCAGGGTGGAGAACGTGAGGCAGGTCTAGAAAGAGGTTAATCGAAATGGTGAACCAGGATACGTAGGCCCTGTGGAGTGGAGGTGACAATTGATGGCCCGTGCCGGGAGTGGGTGGAGAGAGAGTAGCACGAAGGCAGACTCCACATGAGGTGGGGATAATTCTAGGAAGAAGTAAAATGTATTTTTGTTAAATTGTATTCGCTCACTGGGTCTAATGACGGTGGCTTTTTCTGTGGCGTTTGTGTAGGCATTGGCATACTTTGAACAGCTGAAAGCCTCCGAAGATGGCTGGCAGCTGTGCGCCGATGCCCTCATTCGTGGTTTCTACAGGTAATTAAAAGCGGCGTGTAATCCTGAGAGGAAAGCTCTGCAGTGTTCTCTTGTGTGGAGTTCACATCCATGATGTCATCTGCTCATGCCCACTCCCAGCCTAGTTTGGCTGTGGTTCAAAATCTGTTAACACAGCAACAAGCCTCAGTTTGTCCGAATCTCTATGGTGCCAATTTTCTGGCACGGTTAACAAGGCAAGCGTACCACCAAAAATAATCTCACGTCCTTGAATGTTCCTTCAGGATTTGACACAATGAAGGACATTTTGGTTCGGCTAACTCTGTGTGTGTTTGTGTGTTTCCTCTCAGTGATGACCACATCAAATTCTTCTGTTTTCAAGTATTGGAACATCACATCAAGCACAGGTGCATTACTTCTCACGAAGTCTGCGAGACTTATTAGCACCCAACCAAACGGACATTTCACTTTTACAAGTTCTCAAATGAGGTGTCCTGCATTTTACAGCTCGTGTGCTGGTTGCATATTGAAAGTTTGTTTTAAATTGGTGGTGAAAATGATCCCAAATAAACCTCGTAATGTGACTTATTTCGATAACGGGGTGTAGTGATGCGTTGTGTGACATCAGATTTATCCCTATAAGACCAAAAAAGGAGGATTTCGCCACAACGCTGGCTATCGCCTGATGAAGCTGGTTGTAATTACTGGCGAAACGTCGTACTCTGATTGTAAATGTTGTGGGTTTACTCTCCAACACACTGTGCTGTCCTAGTAACGGATTTACATGTTCTTGTTTACGTGACAAACCTTATTGGCTTTGTCTGGTGGTGGCAGGTTTAAGGACACATTTATATTTCCACGATCTAACCCAAAAACCTGTTATGGAAAGTTTGTGGAGAATAATAGCCATTTTCTATCCTTTTGAGGCATAAGCAATTCGAAAATAACACTTCCTACCCAGGAACAAAAATCGTGTTACATAGTGTAATCTTGGAGAGCCTTTTAACGAGAGCCTCCCGTGCGTGATGTCTTGTCTGCCACCACAGGTATCCGGTGCTGCTCTGCGCCCAGCGGCAGCTCATTCGGGACACCATGATGACCTGGCTACAGACGCAGGTGCGTGCGTTGGCGGGTGACCACAATTTGTAGACATCCGCGTCATCGTCATCCTCTGCCACGATTGATCCACAGCTGGATCAAGGCCTCCCAAAGCTATCGCTGTCTCTCATACAATAGCAACGGTTCATCGAACACCTGCGCACGAGCCCATTGCATCGTTCAATCCCTGCGGTGTGCACGTGCTCGCAGGCGTAATCCCACCGTTGGCTGCCGCTCCGCTGTCAGTCCTGACCACCGGCATTCATCCCTTCTAGTTCTGATGTTCTGCCTGTGTCCACTTTTGTATGTTCTATAATACATGTGTTCCACTTTCTGTTCCTCCTCTAAAGGAGGAACAGAAAGCGATTTAAAAAATATATATTGGTTGGTTATTGTCGTGAAACGACCACAAAATATGCCGAACTTGAACAAAGCTGTCGTTAAAACTTGACACTACCCAACACAGCCAACTAGTGCAAGGGTTGCCACGTAAACAGAACGTGGCCAATTCGTCACTAGTACAGCACAATCGTGTGTTGGAGAGCCAAGCCACAACTCTCCAACACACCGATGTGCTGTACTAGTGACGAATTGGCATGTTCTGTTCACGTGTTAACCCTTACTAGTTGGCTGTGTCGGGTGGTGGTGGGTTTTAATGACACAATCTTGATTTGAAGTTATCGTGACTGCAGGAATCCATACTTTTTGGTTCTTTCGATAAAGTCACGTAGGTAGAAAAATAAATAATAAATCACGACGTTTCGATCGCAACACAAGCAATCGTCATCAGGTAGAAAGATACAGCAGTAGAACTGCTGTACACATTTATATATTTACGCGATCTAACCCAAAAACCTCTATGGATGATATTGGTCGTGAAAGCCTACGCGTTAAATTGAACAAGGCTCCTATCTGGGCAGAATTCTTAAGTGCAATGAAAGAGTGATTTATCCAGGAGTTCCCTGTCCTGGAGGCCCTATCACCAACAGCTGTGTGAGCGAGCAATTTCGCTGTCTGGCCTTTTTTTCTAATCAAATTCCTTGTCCCAGCAACGTGCTCCTAAAGGTGCCTCCGCGCATTTGTTGTTCCTCGCAGACCGTGCGCGAGACGCCAGAGAAGCCGTTTGTCCGCAACAAAGCGGCCCAGATCTTCTCGCTGCTCTTCATCTCCGAGTATCCGACCACCTGGCCCAAGTTCTTCTTTGACGTCCTCTCCGTGGTGGGCTCAGCACCAGGCGGGGTCGACCTCTACCTACGAATCCTGGTGGCCATCGACGTCGAGGTGGTGGACCGCGAGATCCTGCACACGCCCGAGGTGCGGGGGTGGGGGGTGATCATTGTCCCTGCTGCCTGCACCACGATCACCGCCAACAAAAAAACAACAACGTGTAGCCTTAACACACTTTTGGAGCACATGCTGTTAGCGAGCACCTCATGAAGGCCGGCACGGTGGGTGGCCAGCACCATGCCCTTTGTCTCCCCAGTGGCAATGTTTACACGCCTCACCAGGTAATCGTTTGAGGCCAAGCAGACCTAGGGAAGGCCCAGGACTGGTCACCGGCAGCGGTAGATGTCCAGTATCCATCCTTGAGTTTAAGCCAGTTTTGCAACGGACGCGCAATGGTGAAGTTCCAAAGAGTCCCCTATCTGTGATTTCTGTGCATTCGCGATGGATTGGACTCCTCCATAAGAGTGAGCGAAAACAAGTGTTTGGTGTTACTTAGGTGGCTCGAGAGTTGTCCTGCGAGATCATCAGCCGGGTCCATTCCGTTGCACAAGGTGGTGCATTGCTAGCTGGGAGAGGTTCCAAATGGAATGTATAACCCTCGCTCGGTCCAAACTGCACACTTAACCCAGCGAGCTGACCTGCCCGTGGTTTTCTTGCTAAAGACGTGTGCGGAAATCATCGTGCAGCATCCTTGCCAATGAGTCCTCCAGCCCATGGCAGTTTTCACCTGGAGCTGGTTCACAACGGCACTGCCACAAACCTCTCCACTGTTCCCATGGACCGTTATGACCAGGCTGGGACGTTTAAAAAATCTAGGTCATAGGTCATAACCAGTATCAGAGAATACCTGGTTCCTTGCAGTCAAAATGAGCACTCGATGGGCTCCTAGTAAATTGTATGACTCTCAGACTTATTCCGCAACAGACGAATTAAGTTTCTCAGAATTCACTCGTTTGTACAGTCACCTTTGAGTTATTTTAGGTAATGACTGTGGGGAGGGGCTGACCGAAATGAAAAGAAAACCATGTTAAAGCAAACATGTAAATTTGGCCTCAAAGCATACTATGTACATTTATGATGAAGACTTATATTTATCATTTGTCGATTCATACCTATTAGTGTTGGTTGACTTAATTATTGAACTATAACTCTCCGCTACCTGCCTCAGCCAATCAAATCAAGTTGTCGCATGCCATAATATGCCAATTGATTTGTTTGGCTTCTTGCAGCAAACCGCAGATGGAATGTCGACATGAGCCAACAAAACATTGAACGTTTTACACGGTGATTCGCTGGAGGTTATATCCAGTGTCATCGGGTGTCTCTCACATGGACCTTATTACTTACACGACGATCTAACCCCAAATAAACAAATTGAGAGTCATAATATGGGTCGTGAAAGCTCGTGACACGTTCTTATTGCTTCTTAATCGGGTCACTTGTCAGCGTATTTGTGATCATGAGGACCTTGAGTTCCTGACCTTTTAAGTGTGACAAGCTGCTAACAATTAAACCAGCCCACATGTGCAATTTATAATGGCATGCGTATGTGTTTATTAGAAACATGTTTATTGGAAGCACGGTTAATCCGCAACCTGAACTGTTATCATCCCCCCTCATGGTCAATCCACTGTTGGATGAAAGGCCTACTCCAAATGTGTTGCAACTTCTCGCGGTCCTGCAATGTCAGCATTATTAGGAAGCCACTGGAGCTATGGACTTTAAAAATCTGGATTGAAAATGTATTTCTTTTAAACCAGATTTTTGTGTTTAGTTTGTTATCCTTCCCCTGCACCTCCGATTTTTCACGTTTGGCTGCGCACGGTCCGAAAGAAGTTCTACATACGTCCATCCGCCCAGCACCTACACACGGCAACTCGATCCAGTGCTCCGTCTCCTTCTGTGGACGACCTCACCGACGCGTGTTGTTCCTTGGCTACCACTCCCGTTATTATTCTTGACCATTGGCCATCATCCCCTCAAAGCCCAGTGACTTTTCCCCGTAGTCCGTCGTCGTGGCACCAATGTGCAATGATATGAAGAAGTGCCATTGCTCCAAACATCGCCCAATTAACAAGTCACTGTTTTATGTCGTTACTTTTCTTTACGGTTTTAATGATTCCATTAAACCTGGGCGTGTTCTGTGTGTATGTTGAACTTCTTTCGCACCTTACGTAGCCAACCGTTCTTATCGGAGGTGCGGGGGCGGGAGGGGGAAGGAGAACAAACGAAACACTAAGCAGTTCTACAGAGGTTCCAATTCAGAAATTAGCGGAATTGGCTGGTGATTAAACACGTGGGTCCTCGCTTTTCGTGCGTGTGCGTGCCTCGCCGTGTAACGCGTCGTGTTAAATCGCGTGTTGGCGGCAGGAGGCGCGACGCAACATCCTCATCAAGGACCACATGCGGGAGCACTGCGTGCCCGACCTGGTCGAGTCGTGGTACCAAATCCTGCACACCTACCAGTGCAGCAACGCCGAGCTCACCTGCCTGTGCCTGGACGTCATCGGAGCCTACGTCTCGTGGATCGACATCAACCTCATCGCCAACGACAGGTGCGCTCGGACGTGCGCACATGCCTCTCTGCCTGTACTGCCTCTTAACCTGCTAGGCCTCTGCGTTGTATCTATATGTGGAACTTATTTCGCACCGTACGTGGCCGAACGTGCGAATCGGAGGAGGTGTGGGAGAAAGACTACAAACTAAACGCAAAAAGCAGTTCTGAAGAAATTAGTTTTTAATTTTAGATTTGAAAAAGTGCAGAGCTCCAGCAGCTTTCTAATATCGGAAGGAAGAGCGTTCCATACGGCCGCGAAAGCACATCTGAAAGCACGCGATGCGGTGACTGTCTTTTTGTTCGATGGTTAGCCGAAAAGCCGCTGCTGCGAGCGGTGATCGGAATTCCTGTGATGGTTTATGCTCCTTGACGAGATCAGCAAGGTATTGTGGTTCATTTATTGTTTTTGTCGTCGTTAATTGCATTGTCGTTGAAAGTCTGTGGGGTTGAGATTAACTCAATGCGATGGTCAGACACATTGTGTCGCCTAAAATGGAGATAATATGTAATCGGTGATGTTTTAGGCAATGTCCCTTCTAAATAGCACCGTGATTTATATTTGTATCCTATAAATATACTTTATATTTTCCGTTTTAAGGCCACTGTTATTGACGCGTTGCTTTTCTTTGTTGGTACATCACTTGCCAACGAGGCATTATTCCCAAATCATGTGTATAAATGCAAAATCTTTTTTTTTACCCAAAAGATCCTCCGAGTCTCCAGGCTAATTTTTAGGAGGGTCCTGCTTAGGTTTCACATTGGGGTAACGATGTTGCTGCTGCTGTGCGTGATCCCAATTGAGTAATTTGCAGGTAATTTTCCCCATAGGCATATTTGGCTAATACCAGTTACAGTATTTTATTTATTCATCATTCCACATTTACAATTGTAATGGATTTTGTGGGTCGAAACTTTACTTTTGTTTTGTTTTTAAACCCAGGTGAGAACTCGACAAGGGAGAGTTTCATTTGCAAGTGGCCTGGTTCACTACAATGACAGAAGCCAATAGTGTCAAAGCACAGTAGAACAATGAAGTTAAATAAAACGCAGCAAAAACGAGCAAATAGAAATCGGTGCAAAAGCAATATTTACAGAAAAAACAAATCAAATCATGCAAACATTCAAATAAATCTGACAAAGTTCACTTATAAAACCAAATCGTCGTCGTAGTGTACCAGTTGGCGTGTTGCGCTACGAACCTGGCAACCTGGGTTCAATTCCCGCTCAAAGCCAATGCCAGTGACGATTAATTGAACCGGTCCTGGGTATCCCCGAGGTTGACTCATCCTCAAATGAGTACCTGGTGCGGTGTGTAAACATCGCCACTCGGGAGAGAAAGGCGGCCGGCCGTGGTGCTGGCCAGCCACCCCCTCGTGTGCCGTGTCGGTCTTCATAGGTGCTGCTCGCTAACAGCACTTACCCCAAACAGTCTGTTAAGGCTACACGGGGGGGATCTTTGTCTTGCGCGGGGTTGGCCGCCCGTCGCAGGTTCGTGGGGCTGCTGCTGAGCCACCTGTCGGTGGACATGCTGCGCGAGTCGGCGTGCGACTGCCTCTTCGAGATCGTCGGCAAAGGCATGGACCCCGTGGACAAGACCAAGCTGGTGGAGCTGCTCAGCCAGGTGCTGCAGGCCGCCGGCTTCTTCAACCTCAAGCAGGTCCGTGGCTCCCAACCCCTCCGCACCCTGAGTGGCGGCGTCGGCAACGTGTGTGTGTGTGCGCGTGTGGTGAGCAGTGGGGAGCGGTAGTGTAGCAGTTAGCGCGCTGCGCTATGAACCTGGTGACCCGGGTTCGATTCCCGCTCACGGCCAACACCAGTGACGATTATCTGAACCGGTCCTGGGCCTCCCCTAGGTCGACTCAGCCTCAAATGAGTACCTGGTGCAGTGGATAAAAACATTGCCACTGGGGAGACTAAGGCGGTCGGGCGTGGTGCTGTCCACCCACCCCCTCGTGTACCGTTCCGGCCTTCATAGGTGCTCGTTAACAGCACTTGCCCCTGCAGTCTGTTCAGGCTATACAGGGGATCTTTGTGGTGAGCAGTAGTGTAGCGGTTAGCGCACTGCGCTATGAACCCGGCGGACCAAGTTCGATTCCCGCTCATGGCCAACACCAGTGACTATTATCTGAACCGGTCCTGGGCCCTCCCCTAGGTCGACTCGGCCTCAAATGAGTACCTGGTGCGATGCGTACACATCACTAGGGAGACAAAGGCGGCCGGACGTGGTGTTGGCCACCTACCCCCTCGTGTGCCGTGCTCGCCTTCATAGGCGGTCGCTAATAGCGCTTTCTCCAACAGTCTGTTAAGGCTACACGGGGGTTCCCTTGTCTTTGTGCCTGCGCAGAGTGAGGTGGCGCCATTGTGAGTGACGAAACCGGTGTCGCGAGTTTGACTTCTTATTTTCACTTCTTCTGGGCAATCCCCTGTGTCGGCTTGGCCTTTTAAAGAAGTACCTGGTGCGGTGTGTCGTGACGTCAGCCACTCGGGAGACAAATTTGGCCGGGGGTGGCGTTGATCACACGAGCCCCTCGTGTGCCCCATTGGGCTTCCTCGGTGCTGCTCGTTTAACAGCACCGGCCCCAAGTCTGTTGTGGCTCTACGACGGGAGGGCTCTGTATTGTGACCAGTCGCCGCGTGTACAAGCAGGTTCTGCTTGGCCGTATAGAGGGCGCTAAATGAGCATGGCATGGGTTGGAGAGGAGGAGATGGGTTCATGTGGTGCGGGAAGGACCTGGTTATCTGAACTTGCTAATGACCAGTTCTTGTGGTGTCAAGATGGGCCTCTGTGGAGGAGGCTTGTGAAGGACTACTGGGCAGTTTGAGGCAGCTGTCTGCCAGCAACCATGCAGGGAGGAGGAGCGACGTGATCAACTTTACCATGACCGGAAACAAAGTGCGCACTTGGAATTCTGAGATTGACCGTATTGGTGCAGGCTTTGCCTGCTCTTCATTCGAACAACGATTTGCTTCATCTCATGCTCTGTTTCTTCAAGTCCCGTGAAGTGTCCCGTCCATCTCGCTGCAGTCCCATTCATCTGGGGGCTGCGGTGGCCAGATTTTAACTGCCTTGCGTGGTATACAGGAGGTCGTGGGTTTGATCCAAAACCCTAACGTCTGAATATTTGGAGTTTGCATGTTCTCTCCGTGGTCTCGTAGATTTTTTTTCCGGTTCCTCCAGTTTTTCTTTTCGCATGTAGAATTGACGTGTGTTTAAGAGTATTTGGCTGCTGCTCTAAATGTCCATATCATAAGCCACTTTGTTGAGCAATCATGTGTGGCCAGGTCGCTTCTGAAAAAGAGCTACACAGCTCAGTGGGCCTTACCTAGTTTAAAAATAATCTCTTCCGTCCGTCTCACGAGCAGGTCGCTTGTCCGCCACCCCGCTTGGCTTTGCAGGACGACGACGTGGACTTCTTGGCGCGCTTCTCTAAGCTGCTCAATGGCATGGGGCAGAGCCTGCTGCAGAGCGCCGGCAAGCTGGCGAAGAGCGGCGACGTCGCCAACTCTGAGCGGGCGCTGAGCGGCGCCGAGAGCAAGGTGCCCGTCGTGCTGGAGCTGCTGGCGCACGAAGACGACGACATCTCTCTCAACGTCACCACCTTCTGCTACGACTACCTGCACGCTGTCAAGCAGGTGCAGCGACACTGCCACCTACTGGTTGCACGAACGGGTGCAGTGGTTAATGGTGCAGTCGTGCAGCTAGTTGTGCAATGGTTAACACGCGATAGACTCTGCACCCGGTAACCGGACCATCCGGCCACCCCCACTGCATTCGGCCAACACTGGGGTAGCGTGGTAAAGTACGGTAAAACAAATCCTATGACCAGCACGGCGTTTGTGTTATCAAGCAGCGGATTGACTGCATCGCGGGGGGTGATTGGCGTATCTGCGGAACTCTTGTTTTAAAGCCGCTTGAAACCATGTACTTTCCCCTCTGCCAACATGTTAGTGAGTAGGTACCCTACAGCCACCACGAATGTTAAAGTTAAATAGTGCAACATTCTGCGTGCTTTCTAATTTCTTCTACGTGTAACTTGCATTTGCAGCTTCCGTCATTGTCAGACCAGCAGAGGGCAAATGTAGAGGTAAGTGTGCGTGCATTTTAAATACGGTTTTGCATATTGTCGGCTGGACTGTTGCATGTTATCGGATTTCGGACCCTCGGTCAATCACAGTTGCGGTTGTGTGAATTGAATGAAAAGGCCACAGTGTGTTGTTGGCGAGTGCTAGTTATTTGTTAGCTGTGGTCGTACGCCAACTGCCAACACAGCAGCAGCCTCGCCAAATAATTTGCTGTAATTGTAGATGTAATTGACCCTGGGTCTGGCAGTTCTGTGTCTAAGCTTTGAGCTTTTGTTTTTCCTCCCGCAGGCAATCCTCATGGCCATCATAAAGAAGCTTGCATATGACGAAGAGTTCAACTTTGAGAATGAGGTACGGGGGGGGGGGGGGGCGTTTGATCTGTGGTACCTCCAGAGAGTGCAGCGGTTGAACACCCAGGTTGACTTAATGGCTTGTTATTCATGGCCCAGGGGCAGCCCCAGTTCTGGTTCGGAATCGGCACCGGGGCCTGGGTCTGTGTTGGCCATGCCGCACGAGCATTGAGCCTCTACAGCGGTGTTCACTAATTTTCAGAGGAGGAGGGGGGACACTTTCGCCGATAAGATATCATCAGTGCGAGGGCTGCCACACATTTGAAACCATTGGGGTTTGACAGCAGCACGATGATGGGGGGGGGGGGGGTGCTTTCACTCTTTGTGTTTTGTGGGGGGCCGCACGTCAGGGGCCGCCAGTGGCCCGCGGGCTTTGCCATGAAGAACTGCTCCACGCACTAGGGCGCAACTTCCATTCCATTCTTCATTCCCTGCTAACTGTGGTATCAGTGGGCCCTCACCTGGAGGAACACATTTGTAAAAAAACACAGTGGCCTTCAAATGAGAATGAAGAATAGGCGACGTTCCGTGCAATGGCCCTTTGTAGATATTCCACGACACTGGGGCATCAGAGCATCACCATGCTGATGCGCACATCTTTTTCATAGATGGAACATTAAAGGCAAGCCGCATTCGTGTGATTTGTGGCCATGCAACCCAAACTATGGACCAGACAGTAAAACCCACTGTAGTCTGAGCGCTCCTTCAACGGAGGAGTAGGAACGGCAAAACTGCACACTCTCTTGAAAGCCTCTTGTGACCAGCAGACCTCGACATTTTTATTTCACTCCTGAACATTGCCATAAGCAAGCATATAGACATTTTATTTTTTCACTTTAATAAGGCAGTATTATTGACATGTCAGGTTTCTTTGTTAATTGTGCGTTGTGCACGACTGCCAATGCAGCAGCAACACCATTAAACAATGTGGTCAATTCGAGGCCTCGGTGCTGGCACGGTTCACTAAACTAACTTTTTATTTTATCAGGTAAGGCCCGCTGAGCTCTATAGGTTTTTTTCAGAAGTAACCTGTCCACAAATGATAGCAACAAAGTGGTTTGTCACGTGGAAATTTATAGCAACCAAATACTCTAAACGCATGTTTCTAAGTGTGGAGGGGGGAAAAACCGGAGGCCCCGTAAGAAAAATCCGCTCGACCACGGGGAGAACACGCAAACTTCAAATAAACAGCAGCCATCAGGGTTGGGAGCGAACCCACGACCTCCTGTATAGTATGGTGTGTGTGTGACCTGTGGTGGCGCAGGGAGAGGAGGAGGCCATGTTCATGGAGTACCGCAAGCAGCTCAAGCTGTTGCTGGACAAGCTGGCGCAGGTGGCACCGGAGCTGCTGGTGATCACTGCTCACCGCGTGGTCACCGCCACCCTGCAGTAAGCGCACCGGCCGTGCCATGATTTAACCGCTGCTGGAAGAACAAAAAGGCCATCCCGAGCCGTGTCTTCCCGCCGGTCTCGCGATGCGGCGATCCGTTTGGCCCCTGTGCTCGTGAACCGATTTTCGTCGTTCCGTCTCCTAGCGGCGATCTTGCTCGCAGTCTGAACCACCAGATTCTGTACCCATGGGCTGCCATCTGTACCCCGGATGGCGTATCTGTCGAGTGTGCTGCGCTGGGTTGGGGGGGTGGTGGGGGTGGGATTTGCTCGTGCCCTCCTCATGTCTCGTTCGTCTCGTTTTTTTGGCGTGGACAGGAACTGGAAGGAGGCCAAGTTCCTGGAGGTGGAAGTGGCCCTGCGGCTGCTCTACATGCTGGGCGAGGCGATCCCCGTGTCGCAGGGCGTCCACTTCTCGGGGGACCCGGCCAAGGCCTCGGCCATGCAGGAGATGATGCGCATCGTACGTCCCCTGACCGTTGGCGCTCGCGGCCACCGCGCGATCCCAAAACGAACCCGAGAGCCCCCTGCAGGGCCGCAGGGTTGGCGCAGTGGTCGTGTATAAACACACGTGTGTCGCACCGGTGTTCTACAACAAGGGCCCTGGGTTTGATTGCCGACATGGGCGCACCGTTCTGCCTAGAGTTTGTACGTTCTCCCCAAAAAAAGCGAAAATTTTTCCGTAGCGAATATTGGCCCTAACATCCCAATACAGAAAAAAATACCTGCAAATTACTGAAATGGGATTACACACGGCAACAACAACATCGACCTCTTATTGCGAAAACCTGGGCAGGGACCCCTCGTGTAAAAGAGTTTCGAGACTCGGCGAGGCTTTCCGAGGCAAACGGGCAAAATAAAAACAACGCGACAACGATAGAACGGTTCTCTACAGCCGGTAGGCATCGATTGCTGTCTTGGGGGTTGTCCTGTTCCGGTGACCGACGGGAAACGATTTGCCGGCGTGCCCCCCCCCCCTTGCAGATGGTCACGTCGGGAGTGAGTCACTATGCGCACCCGGCCGTCACCCTGCAGTTCTTCGAGACGGTGGTCCGCTACGACAAGTTCTTCTCCTTGGAGCCGCAGCACATCCCCGAGGTTCTGGTGAGAACCTGTGCGGTTGTGTGCGTGCGTGCGGGAGCGGTAGCGTACTTGTTAATGCGTTGCGCTACAGACCCCGTGACACGAGTTTGATTCCCACTCGCGGCCAACGCCGGTGACGATTTTCTGAACCGGTCCTGGGCCTCCGTTAGGTCAATTCAGCCTCGAATGAGTACCTGGTGCAGTGTGTAAAGATTGCCGCTGAGGAGACAAAGGCGGCCGGGCGTGGTACTGCTCTGCCACCAAAGTTTTGAATGACTGTGGCACGACGTGACGTGGATATGACGCCGACGGAATGCCATTTTTCAAGAAAAATACTGAATGAAAATGAATGAAATTATTTCATGAATTTGTCGAGGCTCGGTTCGCCTTTGCGACGTGTCCTCTGCCAAAATGCTCCGATGGGAGCTGCGCGATACCGTGCCGCAGTGCGATCTCGCGACGCAGCGCGGTCAGGACGACAGTGCGGGCGCGCGATTTGTCAACGCGACGTTGCGTGCGCATTGCCCTGCAAAGTGCACCCTCCCGATTTTTAGCACGATTGGCTACGTACGGTGCGAAAGAAGTTCTACATGCGTACAAACAGCGACGACGACGACGCAACGTCGCCGGCTCGGGATTCCACGCGGTCCGTAAACGGCGCCGCCGTCCTCCCCCACCCCCCACACAGATGGCGTTCCTTGACGGTCGGGGTCTCCGGCACGGCAGCCTGAAGGTGCGCAGCCGCTGCTCCTACCTGCTCTCCCGCTTCGTTAAGGTGCTCAGGTGAGGCCACGCGTTCCACCGCGGCATTCTTGGTTAGTGACGTCCAAGCTGCGGCCCTCCCCCCCCACCGCGTGTTTGTGGCGTCCGGGCCCCGTCTGCGTGGACCTCGTTGCCGCTTGCTGCCCCCGCGATTTGTCTCTCGACTCTCGGCGAGTTCTGAGCTCCGTCGACCCGAGACGGGAGAGTTTCTTCAAAGCTGTAACCACGGCAATTGTTTTGCCTTTTGTGCTGTAGGAATGCCGCGAATAGAAAGTTTTAGTTTTTGATTACTCGGTACCTAAATGTAAAATGAACGAGGCGAGGACCGTTGTAGCGGTTTATCTCCGTCGCCCGTTACTTGTGACGAAATCGAACGTCGCTCGCCAAGCGCCGCTCGACGTCATCCCGTCGTACGGCTCTAAACGCGACGCCTTTATCACGAATTCCCTACCCGGAAGACGAATGCGGCGCGTTTGGGAGGAAAGCGTTACGTAATCCACGCGTACGCATGGTTATAGTTACTCGTTTATGGTTGTTTTTGGCAGGATTATCGATTTGGGTTGTGTCCCCCATGCCTTGTGTTCGCAGCAAGCAGATCTTCCCATTCATGGAGGAGATCTTGACTCGTGTGCAGGACCTCCTCACCCTCACGCCAAGGGTATGTCCGCCTCCACGTTGCTGCTTCGCCTTTTTAAGAACGGGGACACCGCAGCGGGTGGGTGGGGTCAGTAGTTAGGGGTGGGGTAACTTCACAACGATCCATATCCCTCCTTTGATCAAGGGAATAATAATATACATAGTTCCATCATGGCCTATGGAGGCCATCCTGGAACTATCAACCAATACTGGAAGTCTCTTTCAAGGGACACCCTTGCCGGCCCGTGTGTCCGTATCCGCCCGTCTGTCGCGCCCTCCCGCTGCCCACCCAGGAGAACGGTCTGCACGGGCTGCTGAGCAGCGAGGATCAGCTGTTCATCTACGAGATGGCGGGCGCTCTGATCGTGAGCAGCGAGACGTCGGCCGAGCGCAAGGCGCTGCTCATGGGGAACCTGCTGCTGCCGCTGACCCAGGCCTTCCCGGGCCTGCTCGCCAAGCTGCTGCACGAGCCCGACCAGGAGCGCCAGGCCGCCATCGCCGACTGCCTTAGCCACGCGGTCGGCTTTGTCAGGTGATGCCCCCCCCCCCCCACCAACCGTTGCACGCCCCTACCATTAAATCATTCTATTGTCACTTTTACGTTAAGTACCTTGAGCGAAGGCGCTATATAATTTATTTGAGATTGTTTAACCCCAAACTTATTTGTTTATCTCCCTTAATGAACCTCCCCCTTGTCTCTCGTGATCTCCGCCCTTCTCCACCCCCCGCCCATCATCGTTTCCTCGTCCTCACAGCCGCACGAGCAAGGCGTTCAGCAGCAAGCAGACGGTGCGCCAGTGCGGCTGCGCCGACGTCTACCTGCAGTGCCTGCGGCTCTTCCTGCCGGCGCTCGGCTGCCCCGTGCAGCGCGAGGCTCTGCGCGGCGCCGTGCGCACCTACCTGCACCGCATGGTCGTGTGCCTGGAGGAGGAGGTGCTGCCCTTCCTTCCCGAGGCGCTGCAGGCTTCGCTGCGCGACTGCGAGCCGCGCGACATCCAGGAGCTCATCCCGCTCCTCAACCAGGTCATCGGCAAGTTCAAGGTGCGGCGAGTTTGTGCCGGATGGCGGTGGGGCGGGTGTTGTGGCAGGCTAGGGCGGCGGAGAGTTTTCTCGTGAAGGCCACGTTATACAGCTGCCTCATCCAGCAGTGGGTTGCATGCAACGTCGAGGAGCTCGTCCCGCTGCTCGACTTGCGTCGATTCGGATCGTCACTGCAAGCTCAGTCTGCTTGCGGTGAATTGGTAGCAGCGGCCGTTGACTTAGCCGAGACAATTTATAGACTTATTCCACACCGTACTGGAGTGGACAAGCACACAAATCTGGCTGTCGCCTGATGAAGCTAGTTGTAATTACTGGCGACGCGTCGTACTCTGATTGTTAATGTTGTGGCTTTGCTCTCCAACACCACCGGTGTGCTGTACTAGTAACGAATTGGCGCGTTCTGTTTACGTGACAAACCTTACTAATTGGCTGTGTCGGGTGGTGGCGGGTTTAACGACACATCTATATTTACGCGATCTAACCCAAAAAAACCTGCACACAGCCCTTGGCCAATTCACTGCTCGGTGTTTGAAACGAGTTGTTTGACCGTACTGCGTCACGCTGGTTATCACGCGTTGGTGAAGGCGGGCAGCATAGCTGTTGGGAGCATAGCACAGTACAACATTGCCCTGTACAGCTAAACCCCACGTGTGGCCAACGAGCCTACAACAGACGGACTGAAACGCACCTCTACATATCTCCCCCCCCGCCCCCACCCCCTCTCCGCCCACAGGCCCAGATAGTTCCGTTCCTGCAGCAGGTGTTTGTGCCGCTTGTGACGACGGTGTTCGAGGTGCTGGCGCGGCCCGCCGAGGAGAACGACCAGTCGGCGGCGCTCGACCGGCAGGCGCTGCGCCGCAACTACTTCCAGTTCATCTACTGCATCGTTAGCAGCGGCGTCGCCGACGTCATCTCCAGCCAAGGTGCGGCGAGCACACGGCGCTGACGCCGCTGCTGCAGGCCTCACGAGCCGTTCACACCGGGGCTGGCCGTGTGGCCCGGGGGGTCGGAGGCGCCGAGCCGAGAGGCTGGCTTTCAATGCGGTGTTATTAAACCGGGGTTCTCGGGTGTCGCGAGTTGACGCTTTTAGCCGGGTTGCCGATAACATGGTAGTTCCAGGTGTGGGTGATTTTTCAATCGCTTTTCGCAGAATCTTCAAGCTGTGAGAATTAATTTGCTAGAGGTGTGGGGAGGAGCGCTGCTCTGACTCGCCCAGCGTGGACAACAACGGTAATATCGTCAATCCCACGCCAACCTTCGTCCGGTGTCATCGTTTATGCCATCGATGGGCAGATGACTATGCTACGGTTGAATCCTTTTGAAGCGGTAATGGATTGGTTGCAGTTGTCGACGGTAGCAGTCGTTTAAAATGAACCCCGCATTGCGCAATCTCGGCATCGTCGTCGGCCGTCGAGCAGCGCGTCGCTTGGACCCCGCGATGCGAGCCATGGTTTCGTTCTGCGCTCCGTCCACCCTCGCAGGATCAGCTCAGATGGAGCAGGTGCTCGTCACGGTGATCCAGGGCGCCGTGGAATTTCCCGATCCCGTCGCCCAAAAGATCTGCTTCAACATCCTCTCCAAGCTCGTTGAACTGTGGGGTGAGTTACCTTGCGTGCGGTGAGCAGCCTGCTTGTGCGGTGGTGCTGCTGCGGTGGCTAGGAGATGTTAACTACCTCGCATGCTGTACAGGAGGGCGTGGGTTCGATCCCGACCCTGACGCCTGCTGTATATTCGGAGTTTAAGTGTTCTCTCTCGCCGTGTGGATTTGTCTCCGGGTCCTCCGGTTTTCCCCTCCACATTTAGAATCGATGTGCGTTTAGAGTATTTGGCTGCTGTGAATTTCCACACGATGAGCCACTTCGCAGAGCTATCATTTGTGGCCAGGCAGCTTCTGAAAAAGAGCTATATAGCTCAGTGGGCCTTACCTGTAAAAATAAAAAGTTTAGTTGTAGCGTGGTGAACTGCCTGCTGTGCTGTGCAATGGGCTGTGTGGCAAGTGGTATTGGAAACGTGGCGAGCTTCGGAACGAGTTACTTCTGGCAGTCTGCCGAGAGTCCCGCACGTCCTGTTTATCCGGTGGAGTGGAAGATGGCAACAGCGGCGTGGTGCGTCTGCGTGGTGCGTCTGCGTGGTGCGTCTGCCCGGTGCGTCTGCCCGGTGCGTCTGCGTGGTGCGTCTGCGTGGTGCGTCTGAGTGGTGCGTCTGCCCGGTGCGTCTGCCCGGTGCGTCTGCCCGGTGCGTCTGCCCGGTGCGTCTCCGTGTTGACGTCTGCCCGTTGACGTCACGCAGGCGGCAAAGACGGCTTGCCTGGCTTCGGGGACTTCATGTACAAGAGCATCGTCCCAGCGTGCTTCATGGCACCACTCAAGCCCACCTTCGATCTGATGGACGCTCAGACCATATTGGTACGCTTTCACCGAGGTGGTCATCGTCATCGGAGCTTATGACCAAACCTCCAGATCGCCTAACGCTATTACCAAATCGCCTTGCTATTGACAAAATCACCTCCCCCTACAGAGCAAATCACCTAGCCCTATGGCAAAAAGAAAAATCGCCTTGCCTCTAACCAACTCGTATAGCGAGTAAAATCCGGGGTGCAGTTGCTGGCGTTTAAACGTTGGAATTTGTTTCCGTTTTTATCCGTGCACAGGCTCTTGCGGAGTGCGCCTCTACTCTGAAGATAATTCTTCAGAAACGAGTAAGTGGAGTCGAGGCATCTCCCACACTGACGCGCGCTTGTTCTGGATCGTCTGTCTCGCCACTTGATGGGCACCACGGTGGCGAGATGTAACTACCCCACCTGGTACACAGGAGGTTGTGGGTTTGATCCCGTCCTTGACGCGCGTATGTTTGGAGCTTGCGTGTTCTCCCCGTGGTCGCGTGGATTTTTCTCTGGGTCCTCCGGTTTTTCCCTCCACATTTAGAAACAACATGCATGGAGTATTTTGCTGCTATAAATCTCCATATGATAAGCCACTGTGAGCTATCATTTATGGCCAGGTTGCTTCTGAAAAAGAGCTATAGAGCTCAGTGGTCCTTACCTGGTAACATAAAAACTTTATTGTTTAGTTTATAGTTGCTCTTCTTTGGTTCTTTCGGTAAAGTCACGTAGAATGAGAATAAAATAATAAATTGATAAATTATAATAACACAATAATATTCTCACGACGTTTGTGTTATTTTATTTGATCAATTTATTATTTTATTCTCATTCTACATGACTTTACCGAAAGAACCAAAGAAGATGAATCCTTGCAGTCACGAAAGCTTTAAATCGAAATTTATAGTTGCTGTGCGCCATTCTCGTACCCATCCGCGCACCGCACGTGCGCGCTGGTACCGGATTCTCTCGCTCCAGGCAGCAGGAGTAGATGCGCTCAAAAGGGGCTCGCGAAGTGAAACCGCACGGGGAGCCGGGCTTGCCTTGCCGAGTAGCGCGTGTGGTACACGCACAATGTTGACCCACGTCCGCAGAGTGAATTCGAACCATCTACGATTTAATCACGGTTGGCTATGTAGGTCGTGAAAGAAGTTCCTCATGCGACTGTTGTCTTTGCTCCTCTGTGCAGGGCCCCGAGTTGACTCACTTCCTGCAGCACGAATACCTCCCCACGCTGTCCATGGCTCCGGAGGTCACTGAGGTAACGGCACCCGACGGGGCCCTCCCTTCCCCCCCCCCCCCCCCCCCCCCCCCCCCGAGTCTCCTGGGGAATTAATTTCGTATATGACTGCTGATGAGACAGTGTCAAAACCGGTCCAGTTTTACTCGCACGGAATCAGTGTAGCTGAAACAATGCACTCCTAGAAGGCCGTGGGGACGATAGGTTGTGTGGAGAGATGGATATGTGGAGGAGACCTTGCCTGCTTCTCTGATTTAATGTACCAGAATTATTTTAGAATTTCACTTTTAATGAGAGTAATATTTTTTGAAGATTGAAGGGTTTTGTAGCTCTGGAAATATACGTATATGTAACTATGTATCTCTTAACTCGATGAGTCTGTAACTGGATCATCTATGCAATTCTATGGATCTCCTATGTTAATCTGGATCATAATGTAACTATGGATATCTGTGTAACTCTGGATATATATGTAACTGTAATGGCAGTGTCCTGTAACTGCCGGCGGTCGTCGTCCCAAGAGCCGCTTGTCTCAACGAGGCCTCTCCAGCTGAGACGATGACCGAGTATGAAAAGCCCACGTGGGGAGTGCAATTGTGAAGGCTTCTTCTCTAACCAGCTGTCTCTTCTCCCCCCCCCCCCCCATCCCACAGGAGTTCTGCCAAGCACTGGAGCAGGCAGACCTTAAAGTGTTCAAAAACTATCTCAAGGTGAGTAAGTGATCGTTTTTTAAAACCCCCTGTGTTTAATCCATTGCTGGACGGAGGCCCCCCTCCCCTTGTTTGACCATGCTCCACGACGCTGGTCGGTGCCGGGTGGCATAGTTGGGTACTCTGTGTGCACACGGCCGTGAACCACCGGTGGCCCGAGTTCGATTCCTAGCCACGGATAACATCGGTGGCTCAGTTGATATCTGAACCGGTCAGTCCCCTGGGATCCTTCCCCTCGGTTTAAAACCTGCTCTGACCGGCGTGGTGAAGTATGGTCATCAGACAAACCCCCATGGCCGACATTGCTTGGGGGGAGGCCTTGATTTCAGCAGTGGATTGATCATGGCAGGTGATGATCGATTTAACGAATAATTTCAAAGTGACGCCCCAATACGTATTTTAGGACGAATCACTAAAATCGCCTACATTTTTGCAAACACACCCTTTGTGCGGCGTTCAAATCCTTACCCACGTGGCTTTTCGCAGCCACTATTCTCCGATTTGCTCATTTTTACCGTGGCGACAATTCACCTTTTTGCGTGGTGGTGAAGGGTTTCCTAACGACGTAAATTCCAGTCGGGACGATTCTGCGGCCTAACCCAGCGCACAAAGGCAAATGTGAATCTCAAATCTGCGTCTTATGATCTCCGGTCACAGCTGATCGACCCGTGGTATGCGTGTGCTGTGTGTGTGCTGTGTGTGTGCTGTGTGTGTGTTGTGCGTGTGCTGTGCGTGTGCTGTGTGTGTGTGCGCGTGTGTGCTGTGTGTGTGCGTGCGTGTTACCCCACTGCTCTTTCCAGGCTTTCTTCCAACGTGCCAAGTCATGACAGTTGAAGATTCAGGGTGGGGTGGGGGTGGCTGTGGGCTGAGCGGAGGAGTCTTCGCTGAACTCGATTGTCAACGACCGGATGGACTTTTCCTGGAATATTGACGACGGCCAGAAGGGTTGAAAGATTGAGATTGGGGTTATTAAGGGGGGCGGGTGCGGGGCGGGTGGGGGGGGGGGGCGGGTGGGGGGGTGCAAGGGGGTAGTACAAACAACAAAATCTCAAGATCTTGGCAGGAAGAGTTTTTGTCAGTGCATAGCAACGTTTTACTTGCGGACTATATTTGTAAATAATGATTATAATGGTCGAAACCCTAGTGTTCATTGTTTGAATAATGTACAAACTGTCGTACTGGAAAAGGTGATGCGGCTGCATCGATTGTAATATCGGGGATGGCTCTGTGCGCTCGCGCCGGGCAAAGCGGTCTTTTCTCAACCGCGACGTTCATTTCGAAGGTCAACCTGCCCCCCCCCCCCCCTCTTGCGTTGCTGGTTTATTTAGCGTTTCCTCTTCACTTGGCAAAAGGCCGAAGCCTTCACGGGAACTCGTGTCGATTTGCCGGTGGTTGTGAAGGCTCGCCGAGAGACTCCTCCCGGTTGGTTGCCGACGAAATTCCTCCCCCGGCACCGCCACCGGCCCCCCCAACCAACCAACACGAGTGGCGCGTCCAGTGAGGAGTTGCCAAGCAGTTGCAGTCAGAAAACTTGATAACCCACGGGACGAAAGGTCTCCGTTGTGCAGAAGTTAGCACCAATAGTATTGAAATGCATTCCGATAAGGTTAGCATTTGGTTATCTTTAATATATATACAAATATATAGTTTATGTATTTTGGTTCTATCAAGTTTTTTTTTCAGGTTGGCTATCCGATTTTTTTTTTTAGTAGCACGGTTGGCTACGTGCGGTGTGCAAGAAGGTCTACATGCGTACGTTTGTGTATTCATTCTTTTGGTTTTGTCCGCCTGGGTGATTTGTCGTGCCCTCCAGTGGCTGCAAGGGCTCACCCGGAACCGATTAAAAAAAAACGGCATTGTGAATTCTTATGATTTCCGATGCAAGCTTTGTTGGCAATGTTTATTGACAAACTCTTGGTGGCAAGGTCCCCAACAATTTTTTTTTAAATAAATTGATTTAAAATAATCTTTGGGTCTTTCAGTAAAATCACGTAGATAGAACAATAAATTATCTACGTGACTTTACCAAAAGACCCAAAGAATATGAATTCCTGCAGTCACGAAAGCTTTAAGTCAAGATTGAATTTAAAATCTGCGGGTCGTTCGGAAATTGGGTTCTCGTGTGATCATTGCAGCCACTCGTGGTCACCGTTTTTACCGCGATGTAAAAACTTCTCTTGCATCAAATTATCCCTAAATATAAAAATTTATTTGGAAGGGGGTGCGGCATGCAATGAATAACCCTTATACACCCCCCCCCCCCCTTATAAAAATCTAAAACCATTGTGGGGCAGGGGTGGGTCCACTGGTCGGGCCACATATTGGTACCACCCCTAAGGTAGCAGCAAAACCCTTTTGTTCAGATTTAATCACATGGCTAACGAGTGAATAATCTTAACCCCTGCATCAAGTGGTTATCACAATTCACTTTATGAGCCACCTGGGGTGGAACCACCAAGTAAGTTAACCTGGTGAGGTGACCCAAGTTCAATTCGAGGCTACAATTCCCATCGGTAGCAAGTGATGTCATCTGTATGGCATCAGATGTGTGTTAAAAGTGACCACATTTCGTCGCAAAGTTCATAGATCTCACCAGCATGACACGAACTCAAAATCGAGTTGCATAATACATGGGCTCGTAACAACAACCACTCCAGCACCCAAAAAACTGCTAATCTCTAGGTATTTCAATAACGTCAAAGTATCAACCAGTGTCTCGGATTAACACTCGATGGTCACAGCAATTCAATAATGAAAAGAAAAAACCCTAACGTCGTGTGTGCCACATACACGTGACAAAGGCAATTTATCTCGGGTGTTCTGGGTTTCGACGTAGAGGAGGCTGCAAATGTGTCCTCCAGTGAGATGGTTAAATTAGAAGGTGAATGGTGTGAAGTTGTCGAGCATAGACCAGGGGTCAGCAACCTGTGGCTCTTTTAAGGGACTGCTTCGTGACGTCTTTTAAGGACCACCGAACCGTATTTGGCGTGCATTGCGGCTCTTGAAATATGAACCTTACGGAGGGACCCCGGGGTCCCGAATAAACGGGAGTCAAAATCATGATGTATTTATTTTTGGCGACTCCGTCCCACCGCGCACATCAATGCCGCAACCCACCTGGCACGGATCGCTCTGTTGTCACGGCGTCCAGGTGCAGCGAGGACGAATGGGCAGAAGAAAGAACTTTGATTAGCGCATCGCGTAGAGCACGTCGAGAGGAATAGATTGCCGAATCGTTTGCCTTCAACAGATATAAAATTACGTTGCAACGCAGTTTATGCGAGAGCCGGGGGCTTATGGGACCCCGGGGTCCCGCCATAAGGTTCAGTTGTCGTTTTTAACCGAATTCGGGGGGGGTGGGGGGATAAAAAAAATCGCCCATTTTGGTTGCCGACCACTGGCATAGACCCTGCAGGCATTGCGAGATCGACTCTCTCGATGCGAGAAATCCCTTGTCGCGACAATCCAAGTGATGTTGGAGTTTAACGCGTTGTCTTTCACGATCAATTATGCCCATCGCCTGATGAAGCTGGTTGTATCTAACGGTGAAACGTCGTACTCGAGTTTGTAAATGTTGTGGGTTTCCTGTTTTCAAACACACCGATGTGCTGAACTTGTAACCAATTGTTACATTTTGTTTACGTGACAAACCTTTCTAATTGGCTGTGGCGGGTTTAACGACTTGCATTTATGCCATTTAACCCAAAAAAAACCTCTTGCGGACGTTCGAGTGTCACCGGTCTCTGCTGCTTTAGCTATCACCGCTCTGGCCCCACCTGTGCCGATGGACGGCGTCTGCCCAGCTCGCAGTTGCATCCCGGCGTCACCACACAGATGGAGAATCCTCGGACTCACTCGGTCAAACATCACGCGGTGACAACGCCAGGGTCGCCTTACGCTGGGCTTGTACGTCCAAACAAAAGCCAACCTCGTGATGGTTCTTTCTGAGGTCTGCGCACAATGTACGCGCCACACTATCGAGCAAGCACCATGACGGGCGACGCTGCGATTCGCCGTGACTCGATGAGCATCTCTGCTCTTAAATGTGCTCGAAAGAAGCAAGGTTGGAGCTCGGAGGCTGTGTAGGGGGGGGGGAGGCGGTTGAAGGCACAAGCGTTGCTACCAATCGCACACGCTTCGTGAAGAAGGGAGCATTCAACAAATGCATAGGAGCGCCCGTTGTGGAACGTGGTGTTTAAACTCGAAATTGCGGAGAGCAGCGGGTTCCCAGCCTGTTCTCTGCAGACCCTTGGTGATCCACGCGGCTACTACTGTCTGCAGGGGATCTGCGAGGAAATACAAATAATAACAACCTTGCCAAAGGAAATGTACAATTGAAGCAATTGGCGGGACCCCGGGGTCCCATCACTGCCCCGGGGTGGGAAAACCCGCGTAGCGACACGAGTCTTGCCTTACCGACAACAAAACTAGTGGCAATCGATTGGCCTCGTCGAGAGCTACTCGGGGCACTAAGTTTCGTAGAAAGTTGAAAAATTACATAAACACGTTAAATTCACTGCGGTGGCGGGCTCGCCTTGGCAAAGAAGCTGAGGATCGACGGCTGACCGGAGGGCGTTGTCGCGGCGCGCGTCTGCTGCGGACTCCCCCCGGGGCTCGCGTTTGGCCGGTGGGGTGGCGCCCATCGTGTTGATCGCCGCCCGCTGGCGCTTGTTGGCGCGAGTCTGGGCGGGCGCCGCGTTGCTGTCGGGATCACGTAGTCCGGCGGACTGAAAAATAATAATTATTGACCTGATTTTTGCGGGACCCTGGGGTCCCGCCAAATGATTCAATTTTCAAATAACTCGTAGTGTGTGGTGGGCCGCGAAATGTTTGGAGGTTGAGAAGGGGGGGGGGGAGAGCTTGGAAACCGCTTGCATGGCACTACCACTCCTGTCTGTGGGTGGCGCTGTCCCACGTACCCAACCACACCCCCTCCCCCAGGCAAGACACTAATTATTAACCTTAGCCGACACAGGATCGGCACGTCTCCTATATTTCCACCCCAAATGTTTCCCCATTAACGTGGAGATCTGGGACACCGCAGATGTGTTGGGCTGTCCCCTCGTGGTGATATCCCAGACGAGTCCCCACTTACATGCGAGCACCCAGTGGGGTTGTGGTGTGCAGTGTGAATGCAATACTGCAGCAATCACGGTGGTACAGATTGGGTTGTTGTGCAGAAGGGACTCGGTCAATTTAATGTTTATGCACGGTCGCAGGAAACCTACAGGTTAGCAAGCGCATCCCCGCGATCTTATTTATAAGCGCCTGATGATTAAGGCACTTAATGTAATTTAAAACGTGGCAAAAGCGAGCGATTTCAGATGGCAGTGGCGTGCAAGGACTGGTTGGGAGGGTGCCGGGGAGGGGGGGAAGAGATGGGCTGTTGTCGAAGACTTCCATTCTCGTCCATGGCAGTCAGTGGTGTCCGAGCCGCCCTTACGCCCCTCTCTGCCTACAGTGGAGTATCGGCAACAGTTCAAGCGTTGCCCCACGCCTTTTGCTACCGCCACCTGTAGGCAAAGCAAAGTCCAAGTAATGCGATGCATTGCGTTTTAATTAAGCACGGGCCTGGTTCCGTGCGCTGCACAACCAACGACTCGGAATTCCCAGCCGGTGTCTCCCCCACTCCCCGGGTGTTGAGTAAAACAAACCGGGGCGTACAAGTCCAGAGATCAGCTGGCAGAGGGAGAATTGCGTCGCGGCCCTCGTCTGCAACAAGGCTGTGCGACACGACCGTGTGGATTGTGTATCGCTGCCTCCGATGTCCGTCCCGTGTAGACGGACTTGCCGCAAACAGTTGGCGGTCGACTCGCGGATTTGTCCAAATGCGCTCTGCAAAAAAGCCTTAACAGAAAGACGCGAGCGTGTTTGGTTGAGCGAGTGGTATATATTTAGTTTTTAAATGTACGCGTGTCGGTATTAAAACTAAAATGCATCCACAATGCAACGCTTTTTTGTTCACAACCCCCCTGGAATTTGAACGGATGCTTAAAACCGGCGCGGTTTCTCCTGGTGCATCACTTCACAGTCGCCGTATTTTAAGTGATCATTGCTTTTTCTCAGAATGAGACCGAGCTGCATATTGAGGCTAGACGAGCTAGGAAAACGGTCCTTTTAATTTGTGGTTTAAAAAAAAAAAATCCCCCCCTTGAATCTGGATATATTGCTCCCATGTATACCCCGATAAGATCGTGATGCATTCGGGTGACCCGTGCACAACCACACGACACACCACCCACGGGGACACCTCGTGCTTGCATTCCATGTTCACTGTGCATCATGGAAACCAATAAAAAGAACGTTTCTGGAAAATAGCACACGCTGCCTTGACCATCATTGATGCCAAGTGGCCTACCGATGTTGCCAACCGACATCATCATCACGCCATCCAGGCTCTTGCAAACCAACGTCTGAATACGTTATTTTGTAGACGTGCCCGATAACAGCTAGACCAGGGGTCAGCAACTAACATAACAGCAATTTTTTGGACCAAATTAGATGTAAAAAGACTTTCACGAGCCGCAATGCGTGCGGTGAATACGAGTCGGTAGTCCTTGATAACTAAGTCCTAGATCAGTCACGTGACGAAGCGGTCGTTGTAGCTTACGGGTTGCAAACCCCTGGGCGAGACTGAGTAAAACAAAACGCCCATTGCTCTCTACCGCTCTGCAATGAATACAACTTGTAAGGTCAACTTGCGCACGGTTCTATTTGGTCGCTCCAGTGCCGAATTCTCCCCTTGGCTCTGCAATCCTCTATATATTGGTGTTATCGGCCCACATGTCGGGGAGAAGTGGAGAAACCCGTCGCGTGTCAGGGGGTGGTAACACCATCCTGTTGAGAAGGGACGGGTGGTAGTTCACATTTTGCTGTACCACGTGGCAAGCCAGCGTATGATAACCTCGGCACCCACACACAAATGGACCGTCACGACGTTTTCCGTGAGCCACCAACCCTCGCCTCCGCGGCCGGATTGCAGGCCACCGTGCATGGTTGCCAGCAGCAGCAGCGTGCTCAGTGAAGAAAGGGTCATTGCCCGGAACGGCCTGCTCGCCATCCAGTGTTGGACCCAGCACTCAATGCGTGTTCACGTACACAGTTACACCCGCACACAAGTTGCTGTGACATGTGGAGAACTATCCCAGTGACACATCTAAACGTGCACACATCGGACCATTTTTTGTGCAAGTATCAAGGAATAGAAACTAAGCAAAGGTGTTTACCCTTTCTGGCGATAAAACAGGGGGAGGGGGGGCGTTAAGATGTTCAAACGCCAAATATATACCTTTGGTAAGGAATCAAGTCTGCAGTAACCACGTGCAAACAAACTGATAATATATGCATTGTTGGAACATCTTAACACCTGTTTTATTGCCAGCAGGGGTAAATCCGATTATTTTTCATAAACATGCACGGTTGTAATAATCGGTTAGGCGCTCACAAGCATTCAATACACATTCAAAGCCAGCACGGATTAAAGTAGTGTTGTCATTTGGTCTTCATTTCAGTTCCGGACTTGTTAGCCTCTGTTCGTCTCGTCGGGGGACGGTTGTAGATATGCATTAACATTAAACTAAACTTTTTACAAATGTTACAGGTCAGGCTCACCGAGCTATGTAGCTCTTTTTCAGAAGCGACCTGGCCACAAATGATAGCTCAACGAAGTGGCTTATCACGTGGAAATGTAGAGCAGCCAAATGCTGTACTCTAAATGCATGTTTCTCAAGGTGGAGGGGAAAAGCCTAGAGGACGCAGTGACCACAAGGAGAGAGAATCTGCAAACTCCAAATAAACAGGCTCAAGGTCGGGATCGAACCCACGGCTTCCTGTACACCAGACGAGGTAGCTACGTCTCGCCACCGTGGCATCCCTTCGTATTCTCTGGATAATAACACATTTATCTTGCAATGAAAAGTGAAAGTTTGGGGAAAGTCGTATACTTATCTGGTAGGCGTGTGACCATATTTGCGTTACTTCATTGATACTGGGGCACAAGGTTGGGGTGCGTCCTACTTTACAGGCATCTCATAGTCAGGATAATCCGGTAATACAGTGGCGCTCTACTCCAGAGGCAGTCACAATCTACACGAGCCCCAATCGGCCGTGATACCAGAGATTTTACCAGTGATATTTCAATTATTTTTATTTTTGCCACGTTCGAATCTGTAATTTAGACCAAAAAAAACAATTTAACAATTCAGCAACATTTGAAACGGATTTAAAACATTAATCCAATAAGTTTTGCAGTCGCATTTATTGGATGTTAAAATCTGTAATTTAGACAAAAAACAACAATTTAACATTTCGATTTAAAGCTTTCGTGCACGCAAGGATTCATCATCTTGGTTTTTTCTGTAAAGTCACGTAGAATAGGAATAACATAAGACAATAAAATTCTCACGACGTTTCGGCCACAACACAAGTGGCCTTCTTCAGGTGAAGAGACAGGTCTGTCCAGAAGACAGAGCTTGAATGAACGCTGTCATGCAAGGACCGCGTCTATTAAGCTGTGTGGGCGGAGTTAAAATATGAATTTGCATGTTACCAGCATCAGAAGAACAATTTAACATTTCAGCAACATTTATTTGAAACGGATTTAAAACATGAATCCAAGAAGTTTTGCAATCGCATTTATTAGATGATTTTTTTACTGCATCCGGATTAAGTCGACACTTTTGGTTTGAAATACTTAGCGGAAGAAAGCAGGACGCTCCCGACAAGTAGATAAAATCAAGCCAGTCGCCGCAACAAATTGACAAATGTGGATTAGAAACGGGCAACACCATGAACCTTAATCTCATGTACATCCAAATGGTTGACACTGAAGCGTAGCCACTGGTTGGTGGGCCACACGCAGCAGTCAAGAGCTCTAAAAATAGTTAATTTAATACTGCAACTACAGCTGTACATATTGGGTTTGTGTATAACGGACCGTCATAAAATGAACCACAGTCACTTTTAGAACAAAGGCAAGATGCAAACATGAATATATACACCAGCAAGCTGGCACACCTGTACACGAGGCGAGGAAGGATGCCACCGTGCGTGTGAAACGCGTTGCCACAACAACGCAGCTCTACCATTGGGGAACACTTTTCGCGGGAATTCACGCCGTTATCGCACGGCCGGTGCGCCGTTTCAACCCGGAACGCGCGCGCTCCGTTATAAATCGCACGGTTTGAGCGATCAATGACGAACTGCTTTCTTGAGCTGCGCGGCTGAGCGATGCAATCGATACGGTAGCGCGGCGGCGTACGCCCTCAAGTTATTTGTCCTGCCATCTCGTTGTACCGTGTGCGTAGTAGTAGTACGTCGTATTTATCGTTATATTATGTGGGGAAATAGTTCTCTGAACGCGGCACTTTTTTCAGGAACGCATCTGCTGCGTTAAATGAGAACTCACTGTCTTAAGGAGTTGGCAAACCCCGCAGCTCAGATATCAATCGATACTTGCGTGTATGTTGAATTTATTTCGTATCGTACGTAGCCAACCATGCTAATCAGAGGTGCGGAGGAAGGACAAGAAACTCAAGTGCCCTCGTCCACGGACTAATTTAAGTCCATTGGCCAAACACCCCAATATGAGGACCCCCACTCCTGAAAATCCCCAGATAGAAATGGCATTTTTATTTCTTATTTTTTAACTCTCAAACATTGGACAACGTGATGATGTTTTTTTTCTGGAGCGCTATTGACGGTGACTGGGCTGACAACGTTGCCGTGGCACACCGGTGGATTTTCCCTGGACACGAGGTCATGGAGAGGCACTCCGCATGTAAATTGCCTCTGGCGAGGTCATTTACGACGGAGGAGAAAAACGAAATTCCAGTTTTTAATTTTGACGGTACCGATACAGCCACCGTGAGCCACGTCTTATGGGCCCCTTCATCGATCTGCTGCCATGTGGCCAAAATAGCCTCTGGAAAGAGCGGAATTTCTGGAGCGCTCTGCAATTAAGGGCCTTCCACAAGCAGTGGTAGGAGCTGGTAACTGCAGGGCTGCACTAATAGCTTGTGTTTTTTTCTACACTTTCAAGGGAACACGAATATGACCGTTCAGCGTTTAAAACAGCCGTTTGGAGCAAGTTCTGTTAAGCGAGCTCGTGCGAAGGTCGGCAGGGCAGCACTACGCTCGGCTGCCTGCGTCTCCCCGATGTATACACAAACACAAAGCGCACCGGGTACTTATATTTAAGTACGGGTCGAGCTCGGGGAGGCCCAGGACGGTTTAAGATATTCGTCACCAATGTAAGCCGTGAAATGGCAATCGAACCTCGGGTCACCGGTTTTGAGGCGCAGTGCGCCAGCCGCTACGCTACCGCTCGCCACAAAGCCACACGTGTTCAGAAGTCGCCGCATTCGTCCTTTCTTTTTTCTATCAGCGCTGTGCTCAGGAGGTCCACGGTGTCCGCGACGGCCTTGCACCCCAGGGCATGACCAGAAGCCGACAGCAGTTTCTGCGACCAACACGTGCGTTTACACACGGGGCATTCGCACCCACATACGGACACAAAAAGAGAAGAAAAAAAACATCTGCAAGGCCCCTTAGACCACTGGGGGGTGAGACAAGTGCTGGTAGCGTGAACCCACGGTATGGGGCACCGTTGGTGCTCGTGGGGTGGTCTGGGCGGAAGCACGGCGGCCCCGCCTGCATCTCCAAGGTGCCGATGTTTGCTACACGCCGCGCCAGGTGCTCATTCGGGGCTGAGTGGATGCACCACGAGGCGCGCGCCCTCCAACCCACAGCTGCCGCTTGGTCAGACATTGCCTTGGTGGTAATGACGATTCCCCCCCCACCCACGGCTAACATCCTCACGCAACAACACGAGGGCCGCATGCAGCACGCCAAAGCCACGTGGGAGAGCGCTGACAACCCCCTACCCACCCCACAGCTCTTGCCAGCCCCCCCCCAACCACACACACACTTCCCTAGAACCTCCCCACTCCCCCCCCCCACCCAGTGAATCTCCCCACCCCCCCCCCCCAGGCACTAGCCGGAACGTGGCCTCCCACCCAATCAGAACGCTGGGGTAAATGACGTAACCCTTTCCCGTCCCGAGATGGCTGCAAAGTTGCGGGATGGATCCCGCTCCCCGCAGAATCTCGAACCGCGCTACAGGCATGGCGCTAATTTTATTTAGATCGGCGTAGCGCCGGCGTTCTTAAAGACGTTGTACTCGGCGCAGAGAACCGTAGCGACACGACCCAACTCTACGATAGCTGGCGCCAAACCGTGCCACGCCCTCCCACGCGGCCTTGTGGGAGCCTCGCTACCGATCGTTATTTTATGTTTTTCTTCCGGTTCCGTTCAAATGATGTACACGTCCGTCATCGGGAGCAGGTTTAAGTTGTTAAGATTCTTGTATATTACGCGATAAAAAAAATTATCACCACCCTATTATCCCTGGTGGGGGGGGTGGGTCACGTCTTCCCCCTTTGGGGTCACCGCGCACACCGTGGTTACGGCAGGGCCTCACCTGCATTGCCCTGCCGATCAAGGACTGCAGCTCCTCCACCTCGCTGTTGGCGAACTTCTCATTCTCCTCCAGCACGTAGCGCTGCACAGGGATGGACGGATCGCGCCCCACGCCACGGCAAGTGAAAGTCGGAAGAGAATCCCCAAAGCCCCTCCACCCCCCTCCCCCTGAGAACAGAGGCGGAAACTCCACCCCCTCATGGCGGAGGCGAGTCCATCCGTAGGACCGCCACTGTTGGCTTACCCCACAAGGTTGTAACCTCGTGGTTATCAACCCGGGGTGGGAGCGGCGATGGACCGTCCACTCAATTTCTTTATTTTTGGTTAACGTGGCGGGGGGTGGGGGGGCGCCTTTCCCTGGCACAAATCTGCCAACCCCAAAGCACCATCATCAAATCATTGCTGGACATCTGTGAGAAAGAGCTTTATAGCTCCTCGGAACCCTCAAGTATAGGTTTAAGTATTAATAGAATATTATGATTCTGATTACACAAACATAAACAATTCTATACAGCTAAAATAATAATTAAAAATCAAGTCGTGGCTGCGAGTTGGTTGTTGTATGCAAGCGTCCAGGGACGTGTGTTTGAGCAGCGACTGGTATGCAGCGACGGAGCCGATTGCCCCGGGGAGGTTGTTCAAAGATGCGGTGCTGCAATTGAAAAAGCTACGTCCGACCACGAGGTTGTGCGTTTTTGCTTGTTGGCACTTGGACGAGGAGTGTGTGAGTATGTACAACCTCTTTCGCATCGTACGTAGCCAACCGAGGTCATCAGAGGGTTGGATTGGAGGTCTGGATTGAGGAGCGACGTGATCTGTTGTTTTGCTTGCTCTGTGCGAGGTTTGTGATGCCAGGTGGAGGAGCTGGGCTCCGGTGGCTACGTCGTGGGCTGTGTTGCGGTGTTTCGCTCTCCCTCTCCACCTGCCCTAACTCCCGCTCTCTGCCCCTTCTATCCTAATTTCCAGTAGGTTTTATTTTTACATTTTGAAAAAGCATCTGTCCGATGCTATATACATTTTATATGTTGTCATTCTTGTGCTGAATTTGCGAGGCAGTGCTCATCGCTATTGACGTCTCCGAGGTTTTGAATATGACAGAGCCGAGTGTGGCTTCACAGGACAACGTCCGATAGCCATACAAAGACTAAAGATCCCCTATATATATATAGCCTTAACAGACTTTTTGGGGTAAGTTCTGTTAGCGAGCACCTAAGAAGGCCGGCACAGCACCCGAGTGGGTGGGTAGCCAGCACCACACCCGAATGCCTTTGTCTCCCCAGTGACAGATGTTTACACACGGCACCGGGTAGTCATTTGAGGTCGAACCAATCTTGAGGAGGCCCACATATTTGTCACTCGTGTTTGTCCGTGAGCGGGAGTCCAACTCGGGTCGCTGGGTTGGTAGCGCAGTGCGCCAACCGCTGCGCTACCCCACACACCGGCCTTGTATGCGCCCACCACCCCACTCACGTGTCTCTTGTAACGTCTGTTGCATTCTCCGAGTTCCACTTCTTTCTCAAGCTTCATCTGCGTCATCCGGTTCAGCTGCAGCACACGACGGGGGTGGTGACGGAGGAGGGTACCGCGGAGACAACGAGCGCTTGCCCAAGGGATTCCGTGTCGTCTCCGGAGCCAACCCTGCCCTTAAACGTGCCCCACTATCGGCAGGCGAAAGGGACGCAACGTGGCGTGGATACGGCCACATTGTAACCCGCTCCTGAGAGTCAGGGGTGACCACACCACATGCACCCATAAAATACAAAAACTGCCCCGTACATAGCCGTGCACAGGCTGTCAGAGCTCGCACAAGTACTGTGAGCGAGCACCTATGAAGACTGGCACAATGCAAGAGGCGAGTTGGGTGTAGTCAGCACCATGCGGGGCCACCTTTGTCTCCCCGGTGCTGTTTACACACCACACCAGGTACCCAATGAAGGCCGAGTCGACCTAAAGGAGGCCCAGGACTAGCATTTATCACGCACCACTGATTGTTAGCAGTCGCCAGGAATATCACGAGTCACCGGGTTTGTAATGCAATGAGCTAACCACTGCGCCACCACTCCACCCAGTAACATAAGGGCGTGCACGTTAGACACAATACACTTGAGTACACTTTTAAAATAAATGCTGTACAAGTCGTTTTGCGAATACACAAACACACACAAAACAAACCTCTTGCTTCAGTCGGATCTTCTCAGTGATCCAATCTTCCGTTTTGTCCGACTTCGGCTCCTGCTGTGTGCGTGCGTCCACACACATACATGTGAGTACACACGTGTGTGTACACGCGCGTAGTGTAGCGGTTGGCGCACTGCACTACGAACCCGGAGACCCGAGTTCGATTCTTGCTGACAGTAACGTTTATCTGAACCGGTCCTGGACCTCCCCTAGTTCGACTCAGCCTCAATTGAGTACCTGGTGGGATGTGTAAAAACATCGCCGCTAGGGAGACAAAGCTGGCTGGGCACGGTGCTGGTCACCCACCCCTCATGTGCCATTCGGGCCTTCATAGGTGCTCGCTAACAGCACTTGCCCCAACATTCTGTTCAGGCTATACGGGGCATCTTTGTGTATGTGCGCGTGTGCGTACGGGTAGGCGGAGCTGACCGGGTACCAACCAAGACTCGGGGCCCACAATGGAGACAAAGGCTCTGCCTCCCTCGATCCCTGCGCCTCTCTCGCTCTTACAACGGCTATGGTGGAGACACTCAGCCAGCAGTGTTGAGATCCTAGGGATTTCTCTCCCACACGCACCTCATAACCAAGTCGAGCTGGGAACCATCTCGCCCCCTCCACCCTCCGTAAGAGCTACACACCAGCGTGGCGAGTGTAATCGTGACGACGATGTCGCTCGCCGTCGCGATGACGGACGGCGCCTAAACACCAACCGCCCGGGACGCTCAACTCCTCAGATATTGAAAACTAAGCAAGGCTGGGTGGGAGTGACCGCTGTGGCTAAAACAGCTGCTGCTGCGAGGCTGCGTCATCATAGAAGAGGGCAGTGCAGCACAACCCACTGTTGTACTGTACTATATTATACAATGTCTACGCTCCCCGCAATTCACCAACCCACACTGACCAGCCCGGCGAGGTTTGGCCAAACAACCCCCACCGCCTGAACGGGGAAGGCCCTCGCCCTCACTGGACATCTGTGAAAAAGCGCTTCACAGCTCATCGGATTTCCTCCAGGCTAAATAAAGATTCCGATTCGAGTTGGTGCGGCCAAGAAGCTTGCAGCGATGGACAAATTCCATTTGCGGGGGTCGGTCTGGACGGAGCGGGAAGACCTCCCTCTCCCCCGCAGCGTGTCCGCGGGCCGCGTGACGTTACGGTGGGGGGGGGCCTTGAGATTCCCGCGCACCCCCCCGCAGCGCAGCCCGACAACACCGCCGCGTACTCGGACCTGCGCGGAGGCCAGCTGGAGCAGCTCCTCTTTCAGCATCTCGACGTCGACTTGCGCCAAGTGTCGATCCCGGTACGCGTCCGTCAGCCTCTCTTCGCACTTCTGCGTTTCGCATCAAAGACAAGGAGAGTCCACCAGCCACCGTGTTCAGCCTTTAAAGGATCGCGGGGTGGGGGGGGGGGGGCGGCAAAATGCCGTAAAGCGAGCATCTAGACCGGGGTCGGCAACAACGCGGCACTGGAGCCGTGTGCCACTCTTGTACGGACTGCTTCGTGACGTCATGCGTGTGTGCGTGCATGCGCGTGTATTCACGCACACACACACGCATTACGTCGTGCGTGTGCGTGACTTTGTAGGATGAACGTTGAGCTTTATAAGACCACGGGGTGACCAATAAGCTCTGAATTGGTCTGTAACAAGGTTGGCACTGATAAGGGGTGGACAGGTGTGCACTAATCACAGGCTCACCTGCAGCTGGAGCTTGAGCTCGTAGCACTCCTGCAGAAAGGCTGTCTCCTGCTCCGCCCGTGCTCCCGATGCTGTCCACTCCTCCTGGATGCCTTGGAGCTCCTGCGCAACCGTGCAATAAGATAAATAAAAACACAGGCATCGCCACGACAGCCACACGCTCGCAAATCAAAAGTCTCCGCATGTTGCAACGGTATATTTTCATTCATTCGTCCGGTTGTTACTCGACAGATCTGGGTGGACGCTAACGTGCCGGCCGGACAAGCACCAGCTTTGCCGATCCTGCTCTAAGAACCACCCGCAGGTTAAATCTCACCTCGAAACACAATGGTTCATATTAATGATGTCGGCTTTGTTGCACTGCGGTCTGCATGCATGGCCTGCTGCTGCTGCAATTCTTGTGTATGAGTACATGCGGTTTGATGATGATGATGTGCAATTCTGCTCAGTCTAGAGAGAGCAGGGAAGGAGGGGAGGACATGAACCATTGTAACTTATAGGACTACATTCACCTTTCTGGTCTTCCACAGTGATCACCTTTAGAGCAAAACAGAAGACTTCTTCACAATCCTGGCTATTACCTGATGAGGCTGGTTGTAATCACCAGCAAAACATCGTACTTGAATTGTACACTTTTTGTGGCTTCACTGTTCGACACACCGGTGTGCTGAAATATTAGCAGCGGCCGTTGGCATAGCCGAGACAATTTATAGACTTATTCCACACCGTACTGGAGTGGACAAGCACACAAATCTGGCTGTCGCCTGATGAAGCTGGTTGTAATTACTGGCGACGCGTCGTACTCTGATTGTAAATGTTGTGGCTTTGCTCTCCAACACCACCGGTGTGCTGTACTAGTGACGAATTGGCGCGTTCTGTTTACGTGACAAACCTTACTAATTGGCTATGCCGGGTGGTGGCGGGTTTAATGACACATTTATATTTACGCGACCTCAACCAAAAAAAAACCTTTACTATGGATAACATCGGTCGGGAGAGCATAGAACAACACGTTAAACCGAGGGGTGCAGGTCGGTGGGGGTGAGTGGGGGGGGGGGTAAGAGCATGGATCGAGATCTCCACCTGCTCCTTGGCATGGAGCTCCTTGCGCAGCGCCGTCACCTCGCGCTCTGCCTGCGCAAGCTCGCTGCGCAAGTCCCGCGTCTCGTCACGTGCAGCACACTCCGCGATCCGCGACGCCTTCAGCTCGTGGCTGTGGGCACAAAGATGCCCCCCCACCCCCCACCACCACCGTTAAGTCTGTGACAGACTGTTGGAGCAAGTGCTGTTCATTCGTAGTGAGTAACACCTATGAAGGCCGAAACGAAATACGAGGCGGTGGGTGGCCACATACTAACAGAGACACTCACAGACCAAAAAAAAACAAAGATCCCCCAGTATAGCCTAAACAGACTGTTGGGGCAAGTGTTGTTAGAGTAGCACCTATGAAGGCCGGCATGGCATACAAGAGAGTGGGTGGTCAGCACCGCGCCCGGCTTTTTTGTCTCCCCAGTGGCGATGTTTACACACCGCAGCAGGTACTAATTTGAGGCCGAGTCGACCTAGGGGAGGCCCAAGACCGATTAAAATAATCGTCACCGGTGTTGGCCGGGAGCGGGAATCGAACTCGGGTAGCCAAGTTCGCAGCGCAGCGTGCTAATCACTATACTACTGCTCATACACACACTCTCCTACCTCTCTCTCATCTTACTAATCTGCATCTCTCTTCTACAGCTTTGATCTCTCTCCTCTCACTCATCTGCATCCCCTCGCATGTCGGCGGGCCGCATCTCTCAGTTGACTGTTCTAAGAGCCATCGCAAGTCACATCCGGCCCACGGGCTGACAGTGAAAGAACGCTGCTTAACGGGTGCACGAGGCTTTTGGCTCCCACCTTCGTCCAAACCATCGGCGCTGGATAGCCTCTCGCCACCATACAACAGTGCACCCATCTCACCCCCCACTCGGGATCACCAGCAAACCATGGCAGATGCGGATACCTAATGCACTAATGGAAAATGTAAAACTTCATTGTGCGACCGTGGTCATCCAGAACAGATTAGCACGGTTGGCTACGTACGGTGCGAAAGTTCAACATACATACAACATGACACAATGCCCGATCCACAAATACAGAGGAGACATCACAGTGATGATACACTCCGCTGGCTTGACCACCCGAGTGAAACTGTAATTTGTTGCACTTCATCTACATCAGCCGTACGAAAGAAGATGTAGTCATTCCATTTGTTTGCCCAGGAAAGCCTCATCGAGTGTCAAAAGTCTTTCAGTGGGGTTCCCCCAAGTGTTCCAAGTGTTAAGAAATTCGTGGTTTGAATTTTTTAAACGTGGCATCGAGCCGCTCTCAACTTACCAGGTGGCATTTAGCCGCTCTTCCCACGCCATGCGTTCATCCATGTATAACTTATTCTCAACCTCTAGGAACTGTGTGGCCACACGAAAAAAACATACAACAGCCACCATTATTAACATTCAGAAATAATGTGTGGTACAGTGTTATGTACATTGGTAATGAGTCCATGTGTTTGTGTGTGTGTATATACTGACCAAGTTAATAGATGGTGCTCTGTTAACTCTGAAAAACAAGCTGGGAAGCCAGTACATTTAAAGGGAACCTCATTTTTGGGGGGAGTTAACGTTGCAAGGGGAGACACTGGGAAGGGAGGAGGCACTGGGGGGTGAATGGTAGACACTGGGGGGTGAAGGGGCGACACTGGGGGGAAGGGGAGACACTGGATGGGAAGGGGAGACACTGGAGGGGAAGGGGAGACACTGGGGGGGAAGGGGAGACACTGGGGGGAAGGGGAGACACTGGAGGGGAAGGGGAGACACTGGATGGGAAGGGGAGACACTGGAGGGGAAGGGGAGACACTGGAGGGGAAGGGGAGACACTGGGGGGAAGGGGAGACACTGGGGGGAAGGGGAGACACTGGAGGGGAAGGGGAGACACTGGGGGGGAAGGGGAGACACTGGGGGGAAGGGGAGACACTGGAGGGGAAGGGGAGACACTGGGGGGAAGGGGAGACACTGGGGGGAAGGGGAGACACTGGGGGGAAGGGGAGACACTGGAGGGGAAGGGGAGACACTGGGGGTGAAGGGGAGACACTGGGGGGAAGGGGAGAGACTGTGCTGCACCCTCACCTGCATGTTCTCTACGCGGGTTGTCAACTCGCGCCGTTCATCAGTCAGCTGATGTACGTGGTTCTTCTGTGTAGTCAGCTCCTCGAGCGCTGCCCGCAGCGAGTTCTGCAGCAACGCCAACTCGGCACGGGTGGCGTCAACCTCGGAGGAGCGCACCGAGCACTCCTCCTCCAGCCTGGATTGCACACACACGCACACACATGCACGGCCAGACAGACAGCACGGTCACACAAGGGGGGTCACGTGGCCAGCACCATGCCCAGCCCTCGTCTTGCCGGTACCGATGTGCACACACTGCACCCGATAACTCAGTGAACGGCCAAGTGGACCTAGAGGAGACCCCGCACCATACAGATATTGAGTGTGAATCAAACCGAGGTTGCCGGATTCGTAGAGCAGTGCACCAACCACTGACCTACCGCTCTTCACTTGTATAAAAAAGACAAAGATCCCCCGTGTAGCCTTAACAAACTGTAGGGGCAAGTGCCACTAGCGAGCACCTATGAAGGCCGGCACAGGACATGAGGGGGTGGGTGGCCAGTGGCGATTTTACACACAGCACCAGGTACTCATTTGAGCCCGAGTCAACCTAGGGGAGGCCCAGGACCGGTTCAGATGTTCGTCACGGTTTTTGCTCGTGGGCAGGAATCGAACCCGTGTCGCCAGGTTCGTAGCGCAGCACGCTAACCGCTACACCAGCGCACAAGCACACACGCACGATGGCGGCAGTTTTTTCAGGCTGTGCCGTTGTGCCGCTGTTAACGCAGTCCCATTGAAGCTTCATTTTCCGACGCCTCCGAGGCTTCTCTACCCCCTGCGCAGTGCTCACCTGAGTCGATCGGTTGCCCACTCCGCCCTCTCCTCACTCAGCTGCTCGGTCATCTGTCACAGTGGCAGGCAGGACAAGTCAAACTATGGCTGCACATGAGCACAAGTCCGTTCTAGGAGTACATGGGTCTCTCCAACATCACACAAGAACCCCCCCCCTCCTCCCCCCCCCCCCCCAAAGTCGTCGCTTTGAGAGCTCTCTATTCCACGAGACAGCACCCATTCCGCAAGCTTTGCAAAGAGCGTCGTCACGCGCAGGCGAAACAAAAAAATATTAATAAAATCAACACCAGTGAAAGCACTGAAACTTAGAAGCAAATTCTGAGATGCACAATCCAAGGTCCCAGCAGTTACTGTGCATTTAAAAACTAGACTGGGACAGCCTGGCGGGACGCGATCATTCCTGCGAAGTGTGGAGACACAGCCAACAACAACAGCCGCATTGCTCTGCACGCTGTTGCAATGTTGAGTTTCCAGAAGTGAGATTTTAAATTTCTTCAAATTTGTTTTTTTTTATGGTTCCCCCAACCCACAAAAGAACCCTGTTACACGCATGACACGGTAAATTCATGCATGTCACTTCGAGTAGACACACCGCCCTCTTCACTCCACACAGCCACAGTGGCAAGATGTTAACTGCCTCGTCTGGTATACAGGTCGTGGGTTCAATCCCAACCCTGACACGCCTGTATATTTGGAGTTTGCATGTTCTCCCCGTGGTTATATAGATTTTTCTTCGGTTCCTTCGGGTTTTCCCCGAAGGAACCGAAACGTAGTTGAGCTATTCAAGAGTCTAGACACCCAGCCACCGTGTGCGTGTCGCCTCTGTCGTGACCCGCCGGATTAGCTGTGCCTTGCCGGTCGTGTTGGGCAGCAGCATTAAATTCCAGTCCGTGTGGTTTTGCACCCCAACCCGCCCCCCCCCCACACACCCCTCCCCTGCCCCGTTAGGCCTAGCGGCCATGCTCGGGCCGCAAGGGGTGGGAGGGCTCAAGGCTCGACAGCGCGAGAGTCGCCACCTCCCCACGCCCCTGTGCTGCCGCCGTACGTTGCGCAGCTCCTGGCGGAGACGCTCGGCGTTGGCCCGTAGCTGGTCGCAGAGCGTGCTCATCATCACGCGAGCGTTGTCCAGCATCTGCGTCGACTCCTCCAGCTGAGCCGTTCGGCCGGGGCAAAGAAACGGGAGGGGAGGCGTAGGGGTTGGGTTAAGGTTTTTGTCGCCGCGACGCGCGCTCAAAATTTATCCTGCACGGTACCCATGTCGCAGCCTGCAACCCCACCCCCCACTCGTTACCTGCGAATCCGCCACTGTCTTAACACCACAGCCGCATATCTGCAGTGAACGGCATCCCATTCTAACAAAGCAATCGTTCACCATCCCCAAGCGATTCAACCTCCTCCTTCGGCTCTTCGTCAATCCATAGGGGTCAGTAAAAGGAGGTGCACCAGAACCGGTTCAGATACCACTCTTGCCACAGACGTTAGCCGTGGCTGGGTATCAAACCCAGGCCCCGCCAGACTCCAAGGTCCGTGCACTAGAGACTGCGCCACCGGCTCCGACCTAAACAATTACATCGAGCTAAAAGACTGCACAGATTTCCCAGAGGCGGCTTCGTATGGTAAAAAAAAGAGATCAGTTAAAAAGAAAAGAGCTGAAGAAGGAATCTACGAGACGCACCTGCAGATTCTTCTCTTCCATCTGCGTCATCAGGTCCTGGATGACGCGATGCGTGAGGGCTTCCACCCGCTCGCTCTCCTCCGCCCTGGCGTTCTGGGACAGTCGCAGGGGCAGTGGTCAATGGAACTTACAACAGTCTGAGAAATGACCCAACTTGCTTGAATTTCTAAGGGAGGTGAAATGAAAATGGTCGAGGAGACCCAGAAAATACAACCCTTGTGGATGTGTTCCATGCTGGTGATAGTAGGGGGATTGTACCGGCGCAGAGAAGGGAGATGGTAGTGCGTGGTAACCGTGCTGCGCTTACTATGTGTACTGTGCTCGCTGCGGAGGGTGTATTCTGTTGGTGGTGGTGCACTGATAGGGCTGGTAAAGTGCTAACAACGCGTCAACGGCGCTGGCAATGTTCCGATAACACTGCCGGATGTCCCGACAGTTTCGTCACGCCGCATGGCCGCACGCTTGTTGTGGTGGTTGCACGTGCACGCTGCGGGGACTGTGCCGCCGGTCTTGTGCATCTGCAGTCACCTGCTTGGCTATCGCCTCTCCGACAAGCTGGCACAGCTCCAAGTGCTCCTCTTCGATCCCCTCCAGCTCGATAGCTCTCGCCGCCACGCGCTCGTACAGCCCCCGGTAACCGAGCTCCGCGTCGGAGACACACTGCACCCCATCGCCGACACGCGCGCCGTGCTCACCCGTAAGGTCGGAGAGAGGGGTGACCTTCTCCTTAATTCATCAGAACCGCAACTCTGATTAGCACGGTTGGCTACGTACGGCGTGAAAAAAGTTCCAACATACGTACGTGCGGGCATCTAACACATTCAGATGCACATCAGCCGAGTTTGTCACCGTGAGAGGCCCTCGCAGCGAGAGAAGTGGCCGACGCGCTAACGCACGTCATGCATGACAACAGCTGCAGAGCACTACCAAATGGCTGTGACGTCACCACCGTGCTTGTGGCAGGCTAGGTGCACGTTGAAGCCAAGGGAAGTCGAAAAGGCTCGCCGGCTGGTCACAGGACAAACTCTGGTGTTATGGGTTGACGGAGATGACTTGCAGATGTACCCACCCCATTGTGCCGACTGTACAGTTGTTTAGCTGCCCAGCGCTCCACTTGTTGTTGCAAGCATCGTCATATATACTGTATGTACAAATACCCCCCGTATAGCCTTAACAGACTTTTGGGGGAAGTGCTGTTAGCGAGCACCTACGATGGCCGGCACGGCACACGAGGGGGTGAATGGCCTGCACCACGTCTTTGTCTCCACAGTGGTGATGTTTACACATCGCACCAGGTACTCATTTGAGGCTGAGACGATGTAGGAGGGTGGGGGGCCAGGACCGATTCAGCTAATCGTCACTGGTGTTGGCCAGGAGCGGGAATCCAACTCGAGTCACCGGGTTCATAGCGCAGCGTGCTAACCGCTGCCCCACCGCTCCCCACATATATGTGTATACACACACACAGACTGAGATTTTGTTGAAATGGACACGTTTCACATACCACACTGCTTCTGTGGCAAGTGTATTCAAGGGCTCACCTGTTTAACCACGGTCTCTTCAATGTACTGCCACAACTGTTGCTGCTCCTCTATGGCCGTCTGTGCCTCCGTGTCCATCGCTACCGAGTCGCCTTGTGGCCGCCGTGTATGCTGCTCTGACTGGGAGCAACACACACACAAACCCGAGCACATTACAAACATGAAAACCACAACAGCAGCAGATGCCATGCCCTCCTGCGTTAGCGTGACATTACCACTGCGTCAAATAGCGAAACGTAAGAATATATTCATTTCAACCGAAATACTATTTGTGCAATCATTGCATAATGTGAACTCTGCAGCCACTACACATTCTACATGCACTGCAAAAGTCAACCACATTATTATGCAACGAAATTACGATTCCCAGAAACATGACAAATTGTGACAATTAATTATTCGTTCCATGCCAAAAAATGGGTACCCCGGGCAAAACACTACACACACAGTACTGTGCGTCACACCAACATGCACACTGCTCTTAGGCAGTGCTGTGTACGTGTACACGGTAGGGCCTTTGTCAATCCATTGTTGGGATGATGGCCTCCACGTGTCGTACGAGTCGTGGGGGTTATTTGGCCACGTCACCACTCTGGTCAACGTGGGTTTGTGAAATGCGGCTACATGCACAGATGTTAGAGCATAGCATGTGCAGGAAAACAGTGGAATTTGTTGCACTGTCCTGTACTGCCCATCACGCCGCTTAGCCCCGCAGCCACCTGACCACCTGGCATGCAGTGGTCGCCCAACCAAGCATTGTTCATGCTCATCCCCGTTTAGCTTCATAGTACAGGGCTCTTGCTCACCTGTGTATCTATGGTCTCTTTGGTGATCTTCCCTAAATGTATAGGCCCCTCTTCATCTGTCCAAGTCTCCATGTTTTCTTCTATCAACTGATTGCCTGATTCCAGGGAATGCTGCTCTGCCTGACAGACACACACATACCCGGATATTACATGAAGGGACGTACTTCACATTACATCACACAGACACAGCAAATACATCACACCAAGTTATAATGATTTTCAGCTCTGTCTATCTGATGATCGTTGAAGACTTTCCTACAGTGCCTCAGCTGGGGTCCCTGCCAGTAGCCCGAATCGCACCAGATCGGGTAGAGGATTCTGAAGATTCAGTTTATATGCCAAAGGCTCCAGCTGCCAAACTTATAGAAGCTCCCAAGGTCAGCAGTAAAAGAGTTCCCATAATACTTTGCAGCCTAACTGCATACCGCACCAGGCAGTGCTTACAGCGCCACACGACGGCAAGCCCTCTCTTAACGCGTCTTCACACGACGCGTTTTCACTATCACGCGGTTCTGCCATTAGGGAACACTTTATACGCAACCTGGAATGCGCTCACCGTTATAAAGCGATTACTGAGCGGTCGACGATTAACTACTTTGTTGAGCTGTGTGGCCGATTGGTATGATACAGTACGTGGAATGGTACAGTACGCAGAATGGTAAAGTTCGCGGTGGCACACACTCATCTCAGTTCTTTTTCACCACCATCTCACTGTGTGCATACATCATATCTTGCCAAACTTGCACTTAAAGGAACATAGACATGATGCAATGCGTATCATGCAAAATGGCAAGCAGACTGTTAATACCGCACTCACGCCAATGCCAAATATTATTTACAAAGATTCTTCTTTTAGCATGAATAAATAGTTGGGGTGGAGTTGTGGATGCAGTGATGAGTGCACCGTGAGAAACCCGGCAACTTCAGCTCACTGCCCGGCCACGGTTGGCATGAGAGGCGAGCGAAAGATACATCTCAATTCGTCCTGGCGAGGGGTGGCAAACCGCACAACCATCACAACCAACGTGGCGAGGGGTGACCTTCATCCAACAGTGGACTGCGAAAGGGCTGTACATTATAGTGTGGACTGGTCCCAGGGCACTGCTGTGCCGTCACCGGTTTAGTCGTAGAGTCTTCAACGAGTGCCTCTGGCCATTTCAGATCTTCTTCATCAGTCTGTGCGCCCACGTCTCGTTTTGTTGCCGGCCTGTATTGTTCTTGGATGTTTTGCTCAGACTGCCAAGTTGTGATTGCATGCACATAAAACACAAATACGTAATGTTATATCCACACTAAACATGTTATGGGCAACACAGCCACGTAATGTGCAACCCGAAATAACGTTGGCGGACAACACTTTGTCCCTGCAGATCACAGAATTGTTTTCAGCAATTACCGGAGCGTTTGATTTTACTTTCCACAAACGGCTTGTAATTTATGGTGGTTTCTGTGATTTTTTTTTACATTTCGATTCCTTTATAGTTCTATATATGCATCGTATAACGATTATTATGTGCTTTCAATTAGCAAAATTTGAACTTCATGTAAATAACAGGGTTTTGTTTTAAAATATGGATATACCGGCACTGTCCAAACTATCAAACCCATGGCCTATGAATGCGGCATCCGTGTACTATCCATACATCGTCTACCGCCTCCTCGGATTGGTTGACATAGCATTCGACTACATTACAACGTGGTTCCCAAACTGTCGCTTTTCCATCCCTGCTACACGAAAGAAGAATCTCCACCCCTGAATAAACCTGCTCTTTTCAAGGACACACACCGAGCAGTACACATACAACATGTGCCACATGCTACAAATCTCACCTCCGCAAGTAGGGCCTGTTGAGTAATCAGGTTGGCCTGGGGAATATCACACGAACACACGAGGCGGGCCCCATGAGGCATTGAAAACCTAAGCCCGGTCACCACTAAATGTGCAAAAACATGTCATGTGATTTACCCCCCCCCCCCCACCCCGTCATAATTTGGCATATTGGAGTTACAAAATTTTTAAAAATGGTCTTAAAAATCACACCAACTTGTATACAATTGTTATTCCCTTTTGGTAAAGTGAAAATGAACGAGACAGAAAATGTTACATGACGATTACCTGAATTAAACATTAAAATAAGACCAGATGGAAGACATTTTTGGATGGAATCATTTTAATTCAAATTGCATACGCAGGATGAAACGGGGTGAATTGTTACACGTCTAGTATATATCCTGCACACATAGCGCCACGCACAAATCACCACTCTGTACAGCTCATTACAGTGAGTGCTGCTTGGTCACCTGTTTGTCCAGAGTCTTTGTGGGGAATTCCTCAAACTCCGCACACTTGTCTTGAGCAATCAGCGCACCCATAGATCGTGTGCTTGACTGCTCGTGGTGTCCATCCTGGCGTCGACACACCAGAGTATATCACACACCATAATATATATACCCCAATTAGCTCTATATCCTAAAATCCCATATATGATTGTTATCTGTTTGTGTGTCGTGGGACAATAGTTGACACAATGCACAAAGATTCCGGCAACATGAGAACAATTCCTGGTCACGTCTAACATCAGTGGCATATATCTGAACTGGTCCTGGACCTACCCTAGGTCAATTAAGCATTAACTCATGTCTGGTGCAATGTGTAACCATCAGCAATGGGGCAAAAAATGTGGTCGGGGGCGAGGTGCTGGCCACACCATGCTCTCAGGCAGTGTTGCGATGATGTATGTATGTTAACGTTGTTTCCCACCGTACGTAGTCGACCACGCTAATCGGAGGTACGTTACCATCACTTGGCGACAATTGGAGCTATCGTGTATTAAAAACGGCAATCAAGTGCAAAAACAGACAGAGTTCCATAGTTTAGCCATAGGAGATATGAAAAAAAGAGGTGATGATCTTTGCGTGGCCAAGTTTAACGAGAAAAAGCAATTGATACGGCGAGATGAAGAGCGGCGAGAACATTGAGCAGGTCACGGTCTGGAACGTGGAACGACGCGGGAGACTTTGGCAGAGCAACGTCACCGTGGTGCACCCCACACGCTCACCTGCAGTTTCAGCCGGTGGAAGAGCGGTGTGAGCGAGCACGACGCTATGACAGACGTTGCAGTCAACACCCGGGAAGAGGGCAGCTTCTTCCAGTGGAACTGCGGAGTCTTCGGGTCAACTGGAAGATTCGTCCGGTAATTCAGAGAAGCGTTCTGGGCATGCGGCAGCCTCTTCTGTGTAATGGGTGTAGTTTTTTTGTCTACCAAATGAGCATTCTGGTCAGCTGCAGCTGCTTTATGAACAGTTAGTGGAGTCTGCCGCTCAGCCACTTGAGGAATCCCTTGTTCGACTGGATCAGTATTTTGATCAGATGTCAGAATTGTATGGATGACAGGTGAAAGCTTGTGGTTGGGCTGCGGTGTCTTCTGGGTGACACATGGCGTTCTCTGGACACGCACGGGAGTCTTTTTGGTGACCGAGGAAGGCTCCTTGAAAACTGTTGAGGGATTCTGGGAAACAAGAGGATTCTTTGAAGTCCTCGCGATATTCTGAGTCACCAGCTTAGGCTGTGGCTGTCAGGACAAACAAAGACACAAAATTTAGCTTAAAATACTGTACCCAACCTGTGGTTGGTATCGCAACGCCTGTCTTAGTAACCTGAGGTCCTGCATCTTGCATACTTGCCTTACCCATCTCAATCTCCTCTTTTTGACTATGTCTACAATGCTTACCTGCAACGCTCAGTTGTGACCTTCAAAGTTGCTTACCTTATCCTGTCGGCAAGTAAAGATGTCCTAATTCTCCATTTAAAAAAAAATATTCTTAAACTTGGTATACATGAGTAAAACTGCAAAAAAATTTAGGACACATTTATATATTTACCCGATCTAACCCAAAAACCTCTATTATGATTTTTTTTAATTTACACAAATGCTAGACATTAAATGCAATTTGTAGACCTTGAGCTTATAGGAGAAAAACAGGTGGTACAAATGAAACAGAACAAAAACAAATGGAGATACTGGATTTCAAACATAACACGAAAAAATATAACCATTATATGCCCACTTGCCTGGCCATGATATTCCTGGCATCTTCAGTATGCTCTTAAACCACATCACAGCATGGATTATTATTAACCTTGCACACTTATGAATTATTTAAATATTGCCTTGGCCTTTCACACCAAATGTTATCCCGATTATCGACAACGTTATCCTGTGTTATCGGCATCAAGTGCCACGAGACGGAGAATCCATTGGAATCTCTCACAGAACAGTGCAACTCTGTGTTACAGAACAGCCCACAGAAGCAGATATCACAGAGCTTCCTCTGAAGATCCCGTCAAGTGACCTCTGGTATACATAGTAGGGGGCAGCGCTTTCGAATCCTCTTTGCATATGAACTTGTGACAGTGCGCGTCTCTGCATCTCTCTGTGCATGTTTGCGAGAGTGCACGTGTGTACGTGATGGTGGAAATTTACGGTCGTCTCGACCGCTTGTGAAAGCTCACGTAATTGTACACTATCCCCTTGCGTAAATCCTGAAGAAAACTCGAAATTGGACACATCATGCCCTACGCAATTTACAGAATTGTCTAATCCCCAGGACCTCAACCGTGCCAGCTCTCGACTGCGACCTGGGACAAGTGGCCATCTACCTAAAACTATTTTTGTTTACTAGATACGGCCCACACTGGAGCTACTATAATAGCGCTCTGTTTCAGACGCAACCTGGCCACAAATGATAGCTCAACGAAGTGGCTTATCACGTGTGAAATTGATATCAGCCAAAATATTCTAAACGCGTGACGATTCTAAACGTGGAGGGGAAAACCCGGAGGACCCGGAGAGAAACAATGAAAACTACAACTATACAGCAGGAGTCAGGGTTGGGATGGAACAACCCACGTCCCTCCTGCATACGAGGCGAGGCAATTCACATCTCGCCCCCACGCGGCGCCCTCCATGGACGATGCAAACCCGTGTCAAACTCGGCTGGGATGAATGTAAAACACAGAGGTCTGAAGAAAGCTGGGCTCAAGTGCATATGCGGCTGGCACAATGTCATCTCAGGGAAGCATGGTTCATTGTGTGCTCTACTCACCAGAGTGGCCGTCTCGTTCTCCTTATCGGCGGCGTTCATGGCCTCCCTTCCTTCCCTCTCTCTCTCCTCCAACCACCTTGAAACCCGGGGATTTGCAAAGCAGCAAAGGCAAAAATGATCAGCACCTGTAGGAAATGCACCTAGTTTTAGTTTATTTCATTACGCGAGGTTTAGCCAGTTTCGCCGGCTATTCCACAGGGGAGATCCGTGGTGCGCGAGTACGATAAGCAGTGGCAGTAACACAAATACACGACGTTATTTGTCACGAAAGCACGGAGCAAACAACTATTATTTTGTAGATATGTGCCCAAGTTGCGAGCTGGTAATGTAAAAATAAAGTAAAGCTATTGATTACATCCCATGTGATAATTGATTATCCAAGTAAAATATTTTCAATCAATGATAATAATATTGTCGGCAATCTCGTGCAGAATTATATAAACACATCAATCGAAAGAGATAACGGTCGTGTGTTTCATACACCACACAATAACAAAATGTGTAGCGGGTGTACACGCTGGGTTACATCAGGCCGGTCGAATCCGCCGTGCCGCGGTCGCCTTCCTCGGTCAGATTTTCAGGAAAGACCGTAGGCGGCACAACTTTCTAGGCCTTAACCGAAAGGAGGCCAAAGCAAAATCGGCTTTTGTAACAATGTTTTGAATTACTCACCCGTGTGTAATGATCCCACAGCTGAGACTTGAAGTGGACGCGAAATTTAAAAAAGACAATTCTAAACGTACGTACAACACACCATTCAGGTTATTATAGAGCAATACACACACCAATGGCGGTTGGATTTTGAATATTTACCGACCGCTGATTGGCTGGCGAGTCATCGCGCGTGGGCGGGGAACGAATAAAAAATTGACCAATCGCAAGGCGTCAAGTCGACTGGAAACCAAGCCCCCCTCCTCCACCTCTACGCGAGTGGTGGCGCAGTGATTAGCGCACCCAAACACCAACAACCCCGGGCCATTCGTCACCAAGTGACGGCGCCTGTGCCAGGCTAGGTGCACTCTGAGGCTATCACGTGAAGCGTCGAAGGCTCGCTGGACAGGAGGTCTCCGGACAGACCCAGGTGCCATGGGATGGCTGACTGTGATGACTGGCACGGAGATGCACACCAACTATACCCCCTACTATACCACTGTGCCAACTTTCTCGATTTTATTTGCCCGGCGCTCCGCTCGTTGTTGTGAGCGTCGCTCCTCTGCCCTCTGTTGTTGCCGGAGGGCGACTACCTCCAACTGCCCGGGCCCCGGCTCACAATCAGTGGCCTAGTGACTCTGAACCGCTCAAAGAATCAGAATATGTATACACTAGAGAAATCCGACGAGCTTTCAAGCTCTTTTTCACTGATGTCCATAACTAAAACGGCGTGGGGATGATCCCAAAGGGCTGTCATCAATATCAGTCATGATCAATCCACTGCTGGATGAAGCCCAGTAAATATCGAAACGTTGGTCCAACGGTACCAACCACTTTGCAACGTTGGCTCAACGTTGTCATGTTTGCTGGGATGCCTTCCAAAGTCTTCGTCCAGCAAACATGTTTATATTGGCAGTTACCTGAAAAAGAAGCTAATGGCTCAGTGGGCTTTACCTAGTCATATAAAAAAAGTTTAGTTTTATTTGTATATACGTTTTTAGCTATGTGCGTACCTTTCCTATCGTGTCGTCGTCTCGTTTGTGGTTTGTAACGTTCTGACCCGCCCATACTGACAGAAAAAAAGATCTTGATAGCAAATTAAATTCCTCCAGTAATAACACCCCCCCCCCAAGCTACCCGTAAATAAATACTCTGATGATGATTCTGATCCAAGCCCTGGTTAACAAACTACAACATCAGCTAGTTTCTCTTAAACTAGTCCTGAATACCTCCAAAACCAAGGTGCTATGCTTCTCACCGGGACTGAAGCAGGAAGTTATTTTTCCCCAATTACATTCCTTGAATAATTATCAAATAGAGCAAGTCAAGATATATAAGTATCTTGGGGTCATCCTGGATTCAAAACTGAATTTTGAAGATCACATTGATTATATTGGTAAAAATACAAAAAATAAAATTGGTTTTCTGTATCGACACAAGCACTGCTTCCCCCCAATGTTCCGTTTGGAATTGATAAAAGCTACCATACTGCCTCTACTTGACTACTGTGATATTTATATTCTTAGTTTTTTCGGTAAAGTCACGTTGAAGAGAAACAACAAAATAACAAAATATATATAAAACAATAAAAAATTCTCACGACGTTTCGACCATAACTCAAACGGTCATCATCAGGTGTGTTGGTTTGCATAAATTTATTTTTAAACGGCACAAACCAACACACCTGATGATGACCGTTTGAGTTATGGTCGAAACGTCGTGAGAATTTTTTATTGTTTTATATATATTTTGTTATTTTGTTGTTTCTCTTCAACGTGACTTTACCGAAAAAACTAAGAATATGAATTACTGCAGTCACGAAAGCTTTAAATCAAAATTTACTGTGATATTTGTTATTTTATTTTTACCTACGTGACTTTACCGAATAGAACCAAAGAGTATGTGATTTTTGTTATTTTATTTTTACCTACGTGACTTTACCGAATAGAACCAAAGAGTACTGTGACATCGTGTATAAATCAGCCCCAAGTACTGTATTGAAGAAGCTTGATTCCATCTGTCACTTGGCCCTAAGATTTGCATTGAACTGACCATATAGGACTCACCACTGTGATCTCTACATTGGGTCAAACTTAACATCTCTTTATGTTCGACGGCTTGTGCACCAGATCTTATTTATTCACGATGCACTTACAAAAAAATCCGCAGACTACCTACTGGATCTACTCTCTGTTTCAAAGAACAAATTTGACCTCAGGTCTTCGCTCATTTACCAGCTTCACATTCCTTATTGCCGTACAAAAACCGGAGGAAGGGCCTTTGCTATTGATGCTCCCAGGGTTTGGAATGCTATTGGCAATAAACTGCAACTTGAATCACTACCTATGAGATCTTCACTCAAAACTGCTCTAGAGGAGTTGTACACCCCTAGCTGCCACTGCTATTCAGTGGCCTAAAATATGGCTCTAGATTTTGGTGTTATAATTTATTTATGTAGTTTATTGTAAAAACATTCGGTCACAGTCCCTATAACTGTTGCATTGCATTTATGGCTTTTATTTTAGTGGTTTCGAAAACTTTTTTTGGTTTGGCCATGTTTTTGTTTATTGTAGTACGGAGTTAGACTGATGGCCTTAATCTTAGTTGTCTTGTGGTTGTTGTTGTTGTTTGACTTGCATCCCACTGGGATTTTTGCACACAGCGTTGGTGTACGGTGCTATTTCAGGAGTATTTTGATGGTTTTTTCCTGGATTTTCTGTTTGCACAGTCACATAGTCAATTTAAGATGTTTTCTTGTTCATGTTTTTGTTTTTTGTTTGTTACGGTTGCACCCGATTCAAGAGCCGAATGGCTCACAGGGCTATACCAAATAAATTAACTAAATGGTTAATTAAAATCCCTGGGCCCAAAACGCCAACTTCGCCAGGCCACGCCCATCTCCCCAGGCCACGCCTACTCCTTGAGGCCACGCCCGTCAACCACCAGGCCACGCCCGCTCACTGAGGTCACGATCATTCCGAGAGGTCACGCCCACCCCGCTAGGCCACGCCCACCCCGCTAGGCAACGCTCTCTCATTCAGGCCACGTTTGTTCCGAGAGGCCACGCCCACTCCGCTAAGGCACGCCCACACACAGACCACGCCGATCCGCTCAAGGCCACGCCCACGAGGGTGGCGGTCATCCCAGTGCCCCCTCCCTGTTCCGCGTTGTGGCTCCATCCACTCGCAGTCAGCAGCAGCGGCTGTGGTGGTGGTTGATGGTAGTGGTGGCGGTGCGTCCCGCTGCCCTCTGTAGCCCGTGGTCGTGCGCAATCTCCACCGTGACCACCGTCTCGTAGTCAGCCGCGTCCTTCCGCTTGCCTCTCGCCAAGGGGGCTACAGATTGGGCAGTCGGTGGAGGGCCAGGGAGAGAGTCAGGGGCCGTGGTGGTGGGGGGGTTTGGGAATGTCCACTTTGACAAGAGCGTCACTGTGAAAAGGAGTCCCCCGATTGAGCAGAGTGCTTCAGTTACGACTGTGTAGTCGGGGGCGGTCACTCGAATTGAGAGCAGCGTTTCGGTGCGCTTGAGATGGCGAATGTGCTCCAAGAGGCAGGGATTGACAGGGTCTTCAGTGGCGTCTTGAAGAACGGCTTTCAATAGCACGGGCAGGTCAGGTGAGGCCCCAGGAGCTCTTCCATCGCCAAGCTCACGAGTTGAAGGCGAGGACAGACAGCGAGAGAGACGCAGCCGGGCAATCCACCTGGAGGCGACAATGGAGGGGGTGGACTGCCTGCTCAGCTCCGAGCTGCGTGTGAAGTGCAAGACGTGTGAGGTCCTCCTGGCCAGCGACCGCATCTCCTGGAGACCAACCACCACCACCAGCAGTGGCCCCAAGGCACGGCGAGGTGAGCGCCTGGACATTGCCCCCCACCCACAGACGCCAGTGCTGCTCCACATTGGAGATGTCACATTCAATTCAAACACTTTTTTTAAAATTGTTTTCTTAACAGCCCTGTTATGTTTCGTTTGTTGTGCCCACCCCCCGCACATCCGATTAGCACGGTTGGCTAACGTACGGTGCGAAAGAAGTTCAACATAGTACATCTCGAAATGAGATTTGTGTATGTTGTGTTAGCTGCTGTTGCTTGCTTTGCTTCAAAAAGCTGTAGGCTTCGGCATGAAGGTTTTAAAGTTGTTATTGTGCTGCTTGCGATGTTAGTGTTACTTATGATCGTATTCTAATATGTGAAAGACGTGTACAACCCCTGCATCGTCAGCATAATCGCCACAATAATGCCGGCTGGAAAATCACGAGTTTCTAACAACAGCACACAGACGTATGTCAAACATCATCAGCCTTTGTGCAGCATGCGACAACAACACACAACCATCAGCAGTTCCCGAATAACTGTATAGTTGTCATCTGGTTCTAAACTTGAGCTAATCTGGTCGACTGACACATTTCACCGACTGATACAGCATTTTTGATCGTGCGTTTTGCAAATATATTCAGCAGCTAGATGCGAATGTTGCGGTCTGATCGCCACTGAGAGAGAGAGGGCATGCAGGGAGAGAGTTGAGAATTCGTGGAGTTTCGCTCTTCCTCCTCCTCTGCTGAAGGAGCGCAGACTACAGTGGGTTTACTACGTGGTCCATAGTTTGGATTGCATGGCCACAATAACCCCGCTGGATTGTGTCTTTAAATTTCCCATTCGTGAAGGAGATGCGCGTATCGGCCCTGTTGATGTTCTGATGCGCGTTGATGGTTGAACCAGTTGTGGTTGACTAACTGACTGGGTGAGTGAGTGAGTTGATGGTTGAACCAGTGGTGGGTGACTGACTGACTGCGTGAGTGAGTGAGTTGATGGTTCCACCAGTGGTGGGTGGGTGACTGACTGACTGGGTGAGTGAGTTGATGGTTGAACCAGTGGTGGGTGACTGACTGACTGGGTGAGTGAGTGAGTTGATGGTTCCACCAGTGGTGGGTGGGTGACTGACTGGGTGAGTGAGTGAGTTGATGGTTCCACCAGTGTCTTCGAGGAGGAATCAGACTATACTGGAGGAATCCGATAAGCTATAAAGCTCCTATTCACAGATGTCCAGTAGGGGCAGGTCAGAACGTTACAACAACAAACAATACAAACACGACAGGAGTGCAAAGTATAGGAAAGGTAAACATATCACTTAAAAATATATATACAAATAAAACTAAACTATATTGTTTTTATCTTACCAGCTAAATCTCACTGCGCTATGAGCGTGTCTTTTTTTGCTTTTTTTTTTTAGAAGCGACCTGGCCACAAATGATAGGAGGAATATCAAAGCCAGGGGGTGTGCGGATGATGTGCGCGTCTCGAACGAGCTATACTCTCTGGTTCTTTCGGTAAAGTCACGTAGGTATAAAATAAATATAAATCACGACGTTTCGATTGCAATACAAGCAATCAGGTGGGAAAACCACAGCAATATTTTTTTTGCTGTGGTTTTCCCACCTGATAATGATTGCTTGTGTTGCTATCGAAACGTCGTGATTTATTTTTATTTTATACCTACGTGACTTTACCGAAAGGATCAGAGAGTATGGATTCCTGTAGTCACGAAAGCTTCAAATCGATATGAACTCGGAACGAGCTGTTTGCCCAGTGCTCTTCCCAACGCAGCGGTAGACAAACAGTTTTAACATCGCCTGACAATCGTATTTATTGTCATACCATTTAAATCGCTAAACACACTACCTTCACCAATATACGGTCTTTTAAAAGAGTGAGCAGAGTTAATAATGAGTAACCATCCAAAACGCCCGTCACAATCTTGAGACCAAAGTCTCGATGCAGATAGTATTGTTGTCTGCGTCTCAAAAAGCTCGCCAGGACAAATTAATGACATTGTTTTATTGCTCAGAGACCCGAGTTCATCCTATAAAATATTCACACATCAGTGTGTATCTGTTTAGAGGCGCGTGTCTTAATGAGCGGTGGTGCAGCGGTTAGCGCTACGCTGCACAATGAACCCGGTGAACAGAGTTCGTATCCCGCTCACGGCCACCAACACCCGTGACGATTATCCGAATCGGTCCTGGCCCTCCCCTAGGTCGACTAACCCTCAAATGAGTACCTGGTGCGGTGTATAAACATCGCCACTGGGGGAGACAAAGGCGGTCGGGTGTGGTGCTGGCCACCCACCCCCTCGTGCACGGTGCCAGCCCTTCATAGGTGCTCGCTCAGAATCGGAATATGTTCACTGGAGGAATCCCATGAGCTATAAAGCTATTTTCCCCACAGATGTCCAGAAGGTGCTCGCTAACAGCACACAGTCCTACTTTGGTTCTTTCGGTAAAGTCACGTTGAATGAGAATAAAATAATAAATTGATCAAATAAAATAACACAATAATATTCTCACCTGATGAAGGCCGCTTGTGTTGTGGCCGAAACGTCGTGAGAATATTGTGTTATTTTATTTTATCAATTGATTATTTTATTCTCATTCTACGTGGTGGTGACTTTACCGAAAGAACCAAAGAAGATGAATGCTTGCAGTCACGAAAGCTTTAAATCGAAAGCACACAGTCCGTTCAGGCTCACGGGGGGGTGGGTGGGGTGGGGGTGTGGTCTTCGTCTCTTTCGTCATGAGACTCGGATAAGGCCCAGCGGTCCCCAAGCCACTCTGTGTAATCGAAGGACTTTGATGTGCGGTGAGTGACGTCACCGGCGTGCCTAGCACGCGCGTGCGTTGCTGGGTAGTGTTGTTGTTGATTGTCCTCTGTACACTCGGGCCCGCGTCGCAGCAGCGTCACCAAATAATTGGTTTTAACATCGAGCGATTCGGCGCGTTTAAAAGGCACGCACATTCACCCAATCTCACCGTCTGACTGTGAAATAAAGAATGAGTTCGTGTACGGTATTGCCTCTTCGTGTTAATTAACGGGGTTCCCATATTTTATTTGGAGTGCTCTTGGATAACGGAGAGAATAGTGCCTTCACAAACCAGCGGCAAGTAGGCCCTAAACCCATCCATGAAGACAGGCCAAGCGTGCGCCCGTCACACGTGTGTTTGCCCGTCATACGTGTGTTTGCCCGCCACACGTGTGTGTTGCCCGTCACACGTGTGTTTGCCAAGCAAAGGTCGTAATGGAACCTCCGCATGTTTATTATTGACAGGGCACTTAACGCTTCATTGCCGGTAACCCGCTCATCCATCTCGGTGGAGTGCTCGGTGTGCAGTGGGTTCGTTTGTTGCACAGAACCTGGCGACTCAAGTTCAATTCCCAACAACTCGAATCCCAATTCCCAGCCACGGCAAGCATCAGTGGCGAGTGATGTCTGAACTGGTCCTGGGTCCCTACGCCCCCTCCACCAACTCACATTGACCAGTGTTGTGTATAATATATTTTTTGTTCATTTTAAGGCAGTATTATTGACGAACGTGTGTCACATTTACGATCACACAACCCCACCCCCCCCACAAAAACCAACAGGCATGGGGTGGCCTTCATCCAGCAGTGGATTGGCAAGGGGCTGGACATTTATTTTTTATTGTCAGTTTATTTAGATTACGGGACATGTTGACCTTGCAGAAGATTTGACATCCAGGAGGCCTTAACCACTGTTTAATCTGGATGGGTGGTGCTCTGTTACTGGGAGATTAAACATTTAATACGATTTAAGCAAAGTGCCCTGATCAACCGTAAACACTTAGAGTGCAGTCGGAATAACAAAGGCAGCCTGCCAGGTTCCACGTGCCTCCTGTAATTCCTTAAATGCATTAATTGATCTCTTCCTACACACACACTGATAAGGCAATGTTTTTTCAGCAGTGAATTTAACATTCTTGGGTTTTCAGTTACAAACTTGCAAGCTAGTCCATTAAGTGAGATTAATGTGCCCTATGCAGATATTGGATGAGGTCTTATTTTGGTTTTGGACCCACACTACATCGCGTCATCGTGTATTCACTACTGAGCCAGTTTATCAACTGTACATGGAAATCCCGTCCAGCATTTGCTTGTCTTAAATCAATGCTGCTGAAATGATGCCCTCCAGGTACGCCATGCGGCTGATTGATCGTCTAAGAAGAGATGGATATATGAACAACGCATAGTCTGGTTATTTATCTTGTTACTTATATGCTCTACAACGACGCTAATGGTTATTTTCAGTTTATCACAGGTTCCATTCCAATCTGTGCCAACCCATAAACCAGGGGTTTGGAGCTTACGACCAACAACTTCAATTATTATGGCTTACGGCCCCATGATGCTGACCACACAAATTCCTGAATCAGTGTTCAGGCCAAACATCCCATAATGCGGCACCCTTTTAATAGTGGGTCTCAAGACATAGCAAGGTTCTTCCTGAGCAAATAAAGGACAATTGTCATTCAAACTTTAGACGCCGCCTTGAGGAGTGATGCACTAAGCAATGAGAATAGGCAGCTCGCAGGGTCTCTGCTCACACCGGCATGGGGGTGGGCGAGTTGTTGCTCATTTCCTATTGGCAGTCCCGAGCTGTTTGTGGAATCGCCATGCTTCTATGGTAGGGGTCAGTACATGTTGTTGTCTATATAAGATGTTCCTATTTGGATGTTCTGCCTTTTACAGCGTCTGGAGATGCCTTTGTAATTTGAAACTTGTATTACATTATTGGGTGGAGCAGCGGTGCAGCGGTTGGCTCATTGTGCTGCAAACCCGGCGAGGTTTACTGCGTTTTCCCCAGCCACGGCTAACATCAGTGGCGAGTGATATCTGAACCAACGTTCACCAGGCCGCACTGAACCGGCGTGGTGAAATGTGGCCAAACATCCCCCCCACGACATAGGGAGGCCTTTCATCCAGTCGTGCACGATAAAAAGAGCCCCCAAGTAAGTTAAATTTACAAAGACATTGGGAAATCACTCTCAAACACATTC